ACATTTATTGTACGAGTATTATCTTTGTTTCATGAAGAAAAATACAGATTCCAGTTACTGGAAAGGCTGACCTTTACAAATCATTAGGTACATTTACAGATAAACGATGATGGATGGATGTTTATAACATTCTTAAACGTTTCCTCCATTCGAAGAATTATTATATAGACCATATCAAACTCGGTACAGTCGAAAGCATGTAATTTTAAACACAACTTAGATTTCTTCAATTAATCTTCAACCTTAATACTTTGAACTTAAAGATCAAAATAGGTCGCGGTTACATATTGTGGCCACCTCATGAGATTCATGATATGCAATTACGTTGTTATGTAAGTTACTTCATTTTAATGGCCAAGTTTATATTAACTGAATAGGAAGATGATTAAACCCTGAAGACATTCCATTCATCAGTATAGATAATTAAATTAATTACTTATTATTTTTTTCGAATTAATTGGTGTTTAATTGGAAGTAGGTAAGAGTTATTATTTTTACTATGTGACCAATATATGTTTTCCCGTTCTTGATAAAAGTCATAAATATTTTAACATATTTTCGATGTGCCTAATTTTCTATATTTCTTAACAGAACTGTTTAAAAATAAATTACCAGCTAATTTAACTCAATCTTTCTCAGATTATGCATCATATTAGATACCTACTAGCTTTTGCCCGCGACTTCGTCCGCGTGGTATAGTTACTTTGGGCAGCATATATTTCCCAAAAACGCTGTTGTTTATCGAGCTGATGATGAAATTACTTTGATGTTTAAGTTCGAAGATACTACAATAAAAAATAAACAAATATCCAATATGTTCAGCACTTTATATATTAATAAATCCAAATTTAGATACCAATAAAAATAAAAAAAACTTAATCACGTAGTGGATAAACGCCGCGGCCAGCGGTCGTAGTAGTTAAGCAACTTTCGCAAAAGTCAGTCACGAGATGGGTGGCCAAAAATTATTATCTCAAGCTACTCCGTGCTTCAGAAGGCACATAAAGCCCGGAAGTATTTACAGTTACAAGCATTTCAACTCCAATCTGTATTGGGGCAGCGTGGAAAGTCATGGCCTATCCTCCTTACCACCATCTATAACGAAGGCCTGAGCCCTTGCAGTAGGTAGTTAAAAGGGCTGATGATGAAATAATATATATATTTTTTTTCAATAAACGACTTATTACGTAACATATACCTATATGTCGTGGCCATATCGTAGAATATATGATTTTATAATACAAACATTTCATGAAATGGAATTGGTCAATTCTACGATCTGGCCACGACATTTATACTTGGAAATGTAAGCACCTAATTACATAATATGAATGAACAAATGTAATAAAATAGAATTTATAAAATTATCAACTTGAAAGTCTTAGGTTAAGACCTATCAATCCTCAATAAATTAATTACCGATGAAACAAAAACACAAATAATTGCAATTTCTTTAATATAAACTTTAATGTTTTTGTTAAAGCCTGCAGAAAGTTCTTTGATCAAAATAATAGCACGATTTAGAATACACTCGTCATCAGCTGGATGAAAAGTTATCCATTTTAATATCAAGAATATAATATTTACTCAAATACCAGTTCTCATCGCTATAAAATAAAATATTTTGTAAATGATATTAGTTAATTTTATTACAATGACAAATCAGATTGTAAACAATGGTTGCTATGGTCACATTTTGAGTCCTCATAAAATATTTTACTCCCATTTTTGTTCCTTTAAGTGCTAGTTTTCGGGATAAAATATAACCTATTACCTTCCTAGGATCATAAACTACCCAAATACTAATTTTCATCGACATAGGTCCATAAACAAAGAAGTTCCATACAAACTTTTTCACCCCTTTTGACCCCCTTCGGCATGAAATTTCCAAATATCCGTTCTTAGTACACCACTACGTATTAGCGGGAATGTTCCCTCCAAATTTCAAGTTTCTACGACCAGCGGTTTAGGCTGTGCGTTGTCTGTCAGTCAGTAAGTTAGGACATCTCCTTTTATCTATATATAGATTATACACTTAGTATGTTGTCTTTATTAATAAATCTAGTATGTAAGTATCGTAGTTTTATTATTTATATTAAATATAATGAAAATAATTTTGAAAATAAAATATTTTTAAATTGTATCACTATTAGAAAACGTCTTGTTTAATAATAATATTTATTTATTTACACACAGCCAAAATACAAGAAAGTAAATTAAAAATTAATACTTAAAATTAAACATTATAATTCAATGGCTAACGAATTTTATAAATAGATTAGCGTCTGTAGCCGAGCTAGTTTATTACTGTATTTCGGCTAACAGCGCCCTCCCAGCATTGTCTATATCATCACTATTAAAAGATTATGGTAGTTAAATTAATTGGAAATTTGATAAAACAATTAGATAATACATTAAATAAAAAACAATATAAAAGTATAAATAAAATTAAATCAAATCAAATTAAAATTAAATGACCTTAAAATAAATGACTTTGGTGGCCCCCTTTGAGTAAAATGTTAATGAATGTGTGAGTGTAGGAGGGTGAGTTACAGTAGCTATAAGATTTGATTCATGAGTGTACAATTATAATTGAAAAAATATGAAAAATAAATATTAAAATATATCAAGTTGATGTAAAATGAATATAGTCAACATAGATAAAAAAAAAATATCCAAAATATAAATAGTTGTTATTTATATGAATACCTCATTAGACTTTTATGAATATCTTATAAACTTCTAAATTCAGTGTCACATTAGTACCTTTACCATAGCTTCAGTCTCCTCATAGTTGAGTTTTTGCAAATATTCACTTATAGTTTTTTTTACACTGTACTTTATTTAGTGGATATATGTTCAATACACCATTCAGTCTATTATATATGTAGGGACCCAAAAAATACATATACTTAGTTACAAAAGATGTTTTGGCAATTACTGGATATTTCATGACATTCCGTCGTCTGTGCCTTTTTGACAAATAAGCCGGATAAAATGCTGTTTTTTTGTGTTGCAGTAATGCGCATTTCAATATATATAACTGCCGAACAGTCAAAACCTCACAAAATCTATATAGTGATTCTGTCGGGAACAAAATCGACTTATATGTAGCAACTTTAAGAATTGCACGTTGGGCTATCTCTAGGCTTTTGATGGTTGTTTTAGGAGCCCCACCCCATGTTGATATGCAATATGTGATAAGAGATTGACATAGTGCATAATAAATTTGCTTCATTAGTTTAGGTTCCGCAACATGCCTAAGATTTTTAAAAATATATATTAATTTTCTTACCCTTCCACAAACAATCCTTATGTGTTCCTTAAAATTCAATCTATCGTCTATAGTCACTCCAAGGTATTTCATTAAATAAACTCTTTAAAAAGTCTGAAGTTCAATAGCGCCAAGAAGCTTTTAGGTGTTATAGCGCTATCTCAAATATCAAAAGCTTCTTTTAGCAGTACCGTTTGTAGCGGTACGGTTTTAACAAACTATAAAATTCGAGACACGCCTCTAACAGACTGTATCTCTAATATCCATTGATGTTTTCGTAAAGCCTATGTGGGCTGCATTATACAAGTGTTTAGGTTAGTATGAGGAGTATACGATAATGCGTTGAGATCTTGGCAAATGTTATGAATAAATAATCAATTAACGTCGAGGGCTGTTGCACCATAGTGGTCAAATAAAACCTACTTGAAAAGGTAATAAATATTTTATTTTCGACTTGGAATTTGTGCTCGATTTTATTACAAAATAGCAAATATGCCATCCCATATTGGCAGTTGGCACGATAAAGAATTACAGTCATTAGCCCTACTGGCCAAATAGCGCTTTTCCAATAATGGCACAATACTCTTAGATTCCCAATACAAGTTGAAAACGGTCTATTTCATTCAAGATTATACAATTGATAATACGTAAAATGCATACTTTCATGTATTTTAGCCAAGAGATGTCCTGAATAGACAAAAAGCTTTAATATTTGTAGTTAAATACATTACATTATGTACCTATTATTAAAGTAATTTTATCGTATTTATACGTGTTGCATACTCAGTATATGAATTATTATATTTGGATAATACTTACTTAGGTAGATAGTGTATCTTTTAAATCTTGTAGGTAACTTTTCCGCACAGAAGCCGGCAGATAACGTGAAACAGTATTAGGTAGGTATTTTCAGATTTAATCTACATAACAGGTTAAAATCGTCATGATTGTAAAGGATTAAAAGAAAACAAAGTGCCCACTTATTGACAAAGTTCTCCGATTATTTCAATAAAAATTTCAATCTGTGCATATTTTATTGATTTCCTTGTTAATATTCTACGCACGAAGGGGACGAGTACACCCAAAATTGACAACATTATCTGGTTTTATACAATCCTTTTTTTAGGTTGTATACTTGAAGGGTGAAAAATAGAAAATATTAAGTAATAAATAATAGTAATAATAATAACTAGATTATATAAATTCATAAAAGAAAATATACTCATTTATAACTACGGTGCAACATTTCAGTTTATGATATGGCTATAAACATACAAAATTTTATAAAATATATGTTTTATGTTTTTGTTCCTTTTACACCAATCTCTCAGGGCTGAAGCATTAGTTTTCTTAATATTCGAAAATTAAGTATTAAGAAGGTACACACATAAATGATAATACCTTCTATTTGTTTTCATAATTACTTATTAAGTCAGCCTCATTTAATTAAATCGATTTTTTTTATCAATATAAACTCTTTGACATTTCGCGACAAGTGGATTACCCATATCTGATGCAAAGTAATCTATAAAATATTAACTATATTAAATCCTATTTATCTATCCGATTCGCTGTCCTTTGATTAATTAAATATACCAATTTTATTAGCAATGTATTATTTTCATAATTTGTAATAAAAACAGGTTTTATAAAATATATAGAACTCTTATTGCATAAAATAATGTTGATAGATAATTGATTCTACCTATTTGATTATACCCATGTCATGGGCAGTGGTGTAGCGTACCTTGGCCCCTCCAAGACGCTGTATAAAAATTTGTTAGGGGGCCCAAATGGAGGGTAAAAATATTTGCTTACAAAAGTTAGATGCCCCTGTAGCCCGGGGGTCCGCAAAGCCTTTCTGTGACTTCCATATCTTCTAACTTTAGATATTTCGACTTTCAGATTCATCATCCTGGCACCCGCTCCAAAGAAAACTGCAACCGGTTCCATCAGTAAACTCGGAACCGGTTCAATCGGTAAACCTTCATCGCAGATAGGAAAAACCTCGTCCTTTGGCAGTACTAGTAAGTCAAGCAGTTACAGTTCTTCTGCCAAAAATGCAAAACTTACGGGCAGTGAAAAAACCGCAAGCTTTTTTGGTTCTACTGCGAAAGACAGCTACTTTGGATCAAGTGGATCGAATAAAACATCTAACGATAAGCACAACAGTTTCGGTGAAGCTACTGGAAAGAGCAGTAACATTTTGAGTGCAAGTGTAAAAACAAGCAGTGTTCCTGAATCCAGTAAATATTCGAATACACTACAAGCTTCTGATAAAAGTTATAGTAAGGCAATCTTGCCAGCATACAGCGGTAAAACCGATAGTACTTTGATATCGAATACAAAAAATAGCAATGTTTTAGGATCGACTGGTAAATATTCGAATGTATCTCTCGTAAAAAATGAAACCAAAACGCCTTTTAGTGGTAAGTCCGAAACTAATCCATTATCTACTACTAAAAATAGCAATGTATTTGGATCTTATGGAAAACAAAGTAGTTCTCCGATAAAAAACGATGGTATGCTAGCATCGACTGGACTAGCTGCTAACATGTTACTGTCGAGTGGAACAAATAGCAATAAGTTGAGCTCTGCAGGAAACTATTCAAATGTTGGATCTTCTTCAAAAAAGGATACGTCTACTAGCAAAGTTGCTAATGTATTATTAAGTAGTGGAACAAACAGCAACGTTTTAGGATCTAGTGGAAAATATATGTCCCCCTATGGATCTTCTGGAAAAAATGATTCTGTATTAGGAACAACTGCTAAATCTTCTGTGTCCAACAATTCAAAACAACATCAAGGAAAAATCAACAATGCATTCAAACCAAGTCAGAAAGATGCCAGACCTATGGCCCCAACAAATACTAACTCTAACGTGCACGATTCTAGCAAACTGTATCCCTCATTTATGACTCCTAAAGAAAAGAAACCCACATCAAGATTCGGTATAATATGGCTACCGTTAAGGAAACGTAATAAGAAAAAAGATAATATCGTTCATAATCCGCACAATTATGAAAATTATAACAGAGCGCCATCTATGTACAATTAGTAAGTATCTTTTTTTCTTATTGACGATCATTGCAGTCCTTACTCCTGACATTTATTTTTATACAGATAGTTAAAAAATACAGAATAGCCGATGAATATGCCACGAGCCTCCAACGGTACCTATAGTTACGCCACTGGCAGCGGCACATTTTCGGAAACTATGATATCAAAAATCACTAATGTTTATTATCTATGCTTCTTAACCATGGAAATAATAGTATACTAACAGGACCGAGCACACGAAGCTAAAAACGAGTCGAGTGAGACTATAAAGTGTAAAGGCTCTTTGTTTCTTCATAATATGATAACAATAACGTGTTCAATAAATGAAACGTTTCATATGACAGTCTTACAGTCTTATATACATTTATTAAACTAGATTATTGATATAGACTCTTAGGATTAATGAAACCTTAAAAATGAGTAAGAATTTAAGTATTTTTTTAAGTAAAAAAAATACATTAGTTGTTTCATGTTTAAAAGTAAATTAGTTTCGAATTTTTCAAATTTCAGTTTTTTTATGTGCTACTTGAAAGGTACGGAAATGACTATCTTTGGTTCAATCGTTTCCTGCCAAAATCAAGTTTTGCTAGAGTCGCCATCAAGTGGAGGTGCTTTTTAGAGCTTTCGTTTTTTTAAAATACTTCCTCATTGATAGAAAAAGTAATTTTGACACATTGAAGTTGCTCACTTTTTCCGGTGATTAAGACTCTGGCAGTTGAATTGGCGAATAGGCCTGCAGACTGTAACAAGCACTAGAGGTGAAAAGAACTGCTTAAAATTTTTAAGCGTTCTTACGTTGTACGATTTTTAATAAGCGTTTTTAAAAACTGCTTATTGCTTAAACGCTTTTTTTTCAACTTGTTTGGAAATCGTTATAATAAGCGTGCAACATTGTGTTATCGCTATGTAGCTCGGTGCGCTAAAAGCGTTTGGATTAACCAACCAAAAAAGTTGTTGCAAAAAGTCTGGATGGATATCACGCGTAATACAGTGCATTTATGTAAAGTGCTGCCCTCTAATAGAAAAATGCCGAAACAGAAAAATTGATTGAAGCTAGTAGTTATATCTTGATAGATGGCGGAACGTACAATAAGCATTAGCATACTTTTCTTCTAAGTGAAAAAGTGCTTTTGCACTTATTTAGAAAAGCATGTCTAATTAAGTGCTTTTCGTTTAAACGTCCATCTCCAACAAGCACTGCAAGCAATGCGCATCTTCTAATAATATATCCATATTTCAGTCACTAAGCTCTATGGTACTATAGAGGTTAGAACTTTTAGTTCAATGACAACCTTGATAACACATGACATACCTAATAATTTGTAAGAAAAGCATAGAGTAATATACCAATATTTCCAGTTAGTGTTGCTATGTGCACCGTAATATCACAATGGTCACAAAATCTACCGTAATCTATGTATTATAATCACTTAAAAATTTTTGAAATTGATCCCTTTTTAGGTCAGTAGTTAAAAAATTCAAACCTAAAACTGGTGTTTTATTGAAAATAGCAACTATGACATTGCACCGTCGTTTACACCGTTCACCACAATTTGTGAGAATCCACCGCATTTTTAGTAGAAACATCGTCGTGCATATAGTAAGACTTGACAACACTGTACACAAACAAAAATAGTACACAAAAGCTTTTCTTGAAAAGAAATAGGAAGGAGGTAAAGTGGGTGGTGGGTGGGTTAACTATATACTCCATGGTTTAAGTGGTGTTTTTGTGGTGGTATTGTATGAGTGCGTTGCGTGACTGTATTTGTGTGCTTGTGTGATGTGTTCCATAACGTGTTCTGTGTTCGTGATATTGGTGAATATCACTTTTGTAATCTCAAAGCTTATATTTTGAAAAATGTGGAAATAGGAAATTAGTCGTATCACATTCGTGTCTTTCTTACCAGCAAAAGATAGACTATTGTAAATCCATCGTGAACGCATCATTACAAAATTCTTGATATAAAACAAAGCAAAACTTTTTGGTCTCGCAAAAGTTTTTTAATCGGAACATGCAAGAGAACAACAACAATTTTGAAACAATCATCAATACCTGGCGACGTTTATCAGGGGAACAAATCGAATCTCCGGCATTAGTAAGGTTAATTTCGTGCACAAAATAACTTAAATGTAATGTTATCCATTGTTTACATTTGTACCATGTCTGTGTTTGCAACGAAATACGATCGTGATAGTTCGTGTTGCCGCATTGTGTTGCGATCCTCTTCTCTGAGTATAGGTATACACTCCTTATTAGCGCTCTTTATCAAGTTAATAAAGTGTCGATTATGTTTTAGTATGTCTGGCGACTCCTCTGACCATCAGTCGCATAAAAAGAAAGAAGAAGAAACTCTTTTAGTCCCGGAACGAGCTAAACACACGGCAGTAGCAGTGAATACTGGGATCACTGCAGCCAGCATCGACATGCCCCCTGATGGGTCAGGCTCTGCAGATCCAGAAGAAAAACATGAATTCATAAAACACGACTCAGAAGAAAGCAAGGTAATATAATTAAAAACTCTGTTTCTTGAATGGTTTAATATATTAAATTTAAAAAAAAATGTGAAAATATAGAAAGTTGATACATGGAAAAATTGTTGATTGTCTGTTGGTTGGTGACTTTAATATTTCAAATGTGGCATGGGAAGATAGATTCTGCAAAATGCTGCCAAAAAAGAGACTTTTTTTTTACTCAGGACAGTGTTCTGAACAGCAGTTTTTTAACACATTCACAATTTAAAACTCAAACTTACAAGCCTGAGGTTCAAGTCTACTAATGTTAATGTAATTTAAATGTTCAGTAGGTTTCAACAGCAGTTTTTGTGACACATTTCTCATAATTATACTGGAAAGAAAAAAAAAATCACTCATCACTGATTCATCGAGACACTATTGCAATAATATTTGGGCAGTGAGAAATTTAAAAGACTAGAGGTGTAGCTACTGCCATATCAATGATATATGGTAAAAATAACCTAAGCAAAAAATTTTACCTCCAATTTGTGCCCCCACAATTTATTTTATACAGGGCATGCCTAACCTCTGAATTAGATTATTCAGATTTTTTAAACTAGTATTGAAAAAATAAACTCAAGTTTAATAACCAAAGCACTATATATGAACCATTACATACTTACACCTATTTGCACTTTATTAAATGGGTTATAATTATATTAAAAAGTTTGTTTACATACGGTTGCAGGAAGCTTCTGGTGATAATGAGAAGAGTAAAATTGACAATGATTATTTAGAAAATACTGATGATTTAGTAAATAATTCACCAGATAGCAAATGGGATAAAGAAAAGCAAGGGGATAAAGTAGATAGCGTGTACCTAAGGCCACCACCTCCTCACAAAGCAAGATCAACTGCTTCGTCAAATGAAGAAGAGAGTTGTGGTATGAAATGCCTTTATTATACGCTACAGTGCTGCGACTGTATTTTGATGTAGTTTGCCATTTAAAGTACCTCTATGAAAAATGCCTTTAGGGTAAGATAAACTGTGTATCCTTGATATTCCATTTTTTTTTGTATTGCCATATTTACCTCATATGAAATCTTTGTTCTTGCTTAATTTTTTTGTCTTTGGTTTTTCTACATACTTATATTTCTTTTTTCTTAAAATTCTTCACAAATATCCATACAAGCTTTATACTAGAGAAGTATGGCTAAAGTGAAATTTTTTCTGTAATAAAATGAAATCAGTAACTTTTATACATTCATTAAATCTATCTGGATTATGTTCTTTTCTTTTTATCAGCTCAGTATTTTATATGTTAACAGTTTCTAAGCACAGGTTGTTATATTTTCACTTAGTAATAATGAATATAATACAGATAGTAATGAACTTGATTACAATTTATGCAATGAAATTTCTGTTATCCATCCAATATGAAACATTAAATTTTGCATCAATGGCAGTGAAACAAAACTATTTGCCAGTATTTAAATAAAACACATACTCATAAAGTATACTTGGAGCTGCTATTAGTTTGTTTAAGATATTTAAGTGTTATTATAGTTTGCTATTTTGTTTGTCAAAATAATGTATTGAGATTTTTTGTAAGTCAATTGATCTCGAATTAAATTGATATCATCTCAAAATTAATTGTGTATCTCATAGTCTTAACATGAAATATATGTAATAAAAAATTATATTTACATTTTGGGAAAATTTATCTGATACTATGTAATTCTATTATATACTCTAGTGATAAACTTGCACATTCCACACAATTTGTAACAACAATTTACTGTTTTTTGAAAGTTTATATAAAATTATAATGCTAAATTAAAAAAACTAATTATTGAATTTAAATGAGATATTGTAAAGGTGCTTTTTGAGATAGTCATAATCTTCATTCTTCAAATTCTATTTGTAAACTTCCTAGTTTAATATTGTAATTTTAATTAATTATAACTTTACATAAGTTTGATTAGATATAGTTTATTATGAGTGAGTGAGTCTCCATCCTGGGACTTGTATTTCGGTAAAAAGTTAGTATATAACTTGATATTTTTGGATATCAGTGCACTTTTGTACCTTATTAAAGAGGAGTATTTTCAATGCTTGTTTTATTTCATTTATTAATTCAAAGACGTTTTAATATACAAGTTTCTATATATACATAGAAGTCTGGGTATTTCATTTCATTCAATATGTAATAGTAGGCTTAAGTTTTTCAAACCTGTGAAAATACAAACTATAAAATTTAAAAATGATTTTATTGTAGTTTTATAGAGTACATTTTCATACAACCATTTTAATACGGCAAGGTATCTATCTGCGAGATGCCTAAAACGACGAAAGGTAATCATTATATTCCAGACCTTTTGATTAAATATAATTATCTATATTAATATAAAAGCTTTAAATTTTATTTTAATATAAAAGATATTACAAATTGAACCATATATACCAATTAATTTAAAGAAATACATTTTAAAAAATTACTAGATGTACTGGTGACAGTGAATTTTTTAATAAGATTATCAATGAGATTTTCATAAAAAACTATACAAAATAAAATTATAAATCTGATACTATTCAAGCGACTTCAAGAAATATTCTAGTTTATTTTCCGAATGTTTTATTTAGTCCATCCAAACACTTACAGGCGTTTTCGTAAAAACTCAAGTTGCGCAACAAAAAACGCCAAATGTAAAAAAGCGCTTAGTCATAAATCAGAAATAAAATATACACGTCCAACCAACAAGCGTTGAAATTATAATTCACTATTTATTAAAGTTTATGAAAATAGGTTTTCTCAAACATATTGACTATCACATCGACAGTAAGTACCATGAGGAATGCTTGTAACATATAAGACGAATCAATTCAGACGTCATTTGACGTTTATAATGCGTAGTACGTAGGTAGGTTTAACCGTAGGTGTTATGATTAAACTTTGCAAATTACCCCGCACCACTCGAAAATGTTTTATTGAGCAGTCGTTATTTTGTTTCAACTTATGTGCCACGCATTATAACATATTATATTATGCTTAAAGTATATAAAACACTACAATTTATACAGTTCAAAATAGAAAGAAACTAGTTTCTCGGTAACCAATAATTTGTAATCAACGGGGATGAGTGATTTTGTACACACCTAAGATTATTAATCAAAGTGTTGCATAAAATATCAAAAAAACTACAAATTGACTGAGATTAGGGGATCAGAAACCCTTAAATTTTCATTTACACCATGGCGAATCCACTTTTCGAATCATGTAGCTACACGGTTCGGTCCCCTTGGTCAAAAACACGTACACTGACATCTTATAAACAAATTTATTCTAAAAATTTTTGGTATATGAAATTTTATTAGTATACATAATTTATCAAACAACGTAGTATCACATTCCATACATGATACATTACTAAAATGTGTGTATAAAGAACACACATATCAAAGTAATTACAAAAAATATAAGGACACATTTTTTGACAAAAAAATAATCACAATCTATATATGAATAACTTTACAAATATGTACTAAACAGACAAAATATCCAAAGTTACGATAAATCATTTTAGCTAAAAATGTACATAATTGATTTCTAGACACTTATATTTTATACATTATTGCACCGACAAATTATTAACTAGTGTTTGTACAATTACTACTTATTATAGCTATATTAATATTAGGATACTACGGGACACATTTTCGTATCGAGACAAGCTTATTTCGTTATATAATTAAGTGCTAATAAGTTTTAATATCGGTTTCTAATCCGTAATACTTGTTACTACATACAGCACTGTATGTCGTCATAAAGTAAGGTAAAACATTCTTAAATAATTAATTGTATCTTGTCAAATTAACTGTGTGCATTCTTATATAATATGCATAAAACATATCAATAATAAACAAGTAATATAGTATACAAATCAGCACATCGGGCACAACTATACGGTTAAATTTACGGTGACACATAAATAGTTTTACGAAATACTTTAATGTTACGAAAATACTGTAAAAAATATATTAACTGTCTTTATCTTTAAAAACAGTTACGTTAATATGATAAATTATCTTCTGCAAAATCAAATAAATATGAAAACGTTGTTTACGTATATTAACATTAAAGATTGGCTCGAGGGGGTAGCACGACGCATTATGTTGCTAAATAAAAATTGAAATATAATAGATCTTTGTGTAATGTGTACATTTTAGTTATAGTATAGAAGTAATCCAGATTGAGGAAAATGTCAGATTGGATTATCACTCAAAAGTAAAACTTTAATATAAGTCGCACGCTGAGAACGATAGTGACACAATACAAAAAAAATGCGATTTTGAGTAATGAGCGTTTAAAGTCCAAGAAATTATAATAAGCCCCTCTAAACAACGTATCGTCACTACGCCAGCTAGCAGTTTCTATGCAAGCTAAGTTCACATGGATCTTTGCATTTTAAAGTTTGTACTTAACCAAGAAAAATGTTGCCAAAAGTAAAAAATACGTCGTTTTTGGTTAGTGACATTATCATTCTTAACGTGCGAAGTGTATTTGAGCATTATAAATGAATATATAATAATAAAATAAATGCTCCCGTAAATAAGAAGTCTATTAAAAATGAATATTTGTTAGTGATTTCTAGATAAATAATTTAAGCGAGTTAAATCGAATAGAAGAAATATTTGATGATTTTACCCACAACATATGAGCTATAAATATACTTTTCAATTACTATTTACAAATGAACCATGAGTTTAATTCAAATTACTTTTCTGACATCATTTGAATAAAAAATAAAATAAATATATAACTCATATGAATTAACATGACACCTGAGGTTTTAGTCAATTTTTCTTTGTATCTATTTATTTGTTAGATCCACCAACATTTGTTTAAATCGTTTCTTCCGCAATATAAAAAACGTTTAAAGATAAATACAACATGCATCAATATAATAACAAACATAAGTAATAATTATTATAATACAAAAGGTGAGCATCATCGTGAGGGATGATGCCTGGTTAAAAAAAAGGAATCGTATTTAGTTCGTCAGTAGGATAATAGACAAATCATAGACACGTATTTTTTTGTCTTCAATTTAACAAGAAATGGATTAAATAAACATTAAAATTGGGTTCGCTACTTCACGTGCAGTAAATGTACAAAGGTGTGACGTCATTCGATATTTCAACTCACGTACTTTATTGATTACGCAAAGATACGTGTCTCCTATTCTTTAATAATTTACCCGACGGACAGATAAACAAAAAATAGTCATCATGCCTATTTAACAGAATAAATAAAGAAAAATTTTTGCCAATGACCAAACTCATTGATACAACGGAGCTTGTTAGATGAAACTTGTTAATTAAATGCATTGTATTAAACTTCAGAAATATAGAAAACCTTAATAGAAAATAAACACTACATATTATGAGTATAAAAAAATCTTTAATTTTAACTCAAATAAAAACTTTTTGGATAAAAAAAAAGAAATATAATAAATAAACGTATTCTGTTGATTAAGTAAAAGAGTCGATTTGAATGTCATGTCATAATAAAATATTAGTGATAATTATAATATAATTAGATGTGTTCACCAGCATATAATGTTATAAATATCTGAGAAGGAAGTTGAACAATATAAGGACGGTACAATGAGAACATAAAAGAAAACATATATCAATAATTATTATTTCAATACTATTGAATATTTGCAATCAAACTGCAAAGGACTTGGATTTATGAAATAATTATTAATCTTAAAAGAACTACAAAAAAAATGACCATAATAATTTCAATAAATACTATTTGCAGTGCTATTAATGAGTGCTGCCATTTAACGAAACTGAGAAACGACAGTGACATAATTTTATTAATAACTTATAGAGATTTATTGTTGGTTACTCATTAAAGAGCTTATTAATGAGATGAGTCAAATGTCATTTTAATCTCTCGGAACTTAAACACATAGGAAGATATCACTTTTATATATACATTGTCGATTTTAGTTATTATTATTACACAATCACGTCAAAAACACTATAATAGTTTAAACTCTTTGATGAAGGATAAAATTCACTTAATTTTCTTCATTTCATTTAATATCATGAACGGATAGTCGACAATACTCTGACCAGTATTATTGTTGAAATATCTAGTAGTTCAAGTAAATTTAATTAATCCTAGGCTATGATGAAGCATAGGCTGATTAGCTGATTTTTTATGCATTCAAATTTGGTGCGTTGCGATTACTTTCTTAATATTCCTAGTCATACTAGAGCCTCTGCCTCATAATACTGAAGCAAATACATTTAAATCCCTTTACCGATATTATAAACCTCAACAGAACAACGAAAAGGTTTATTATGTAAGTACTATACATGTTGTCCTACCCTTTTCATACAACACGTAAACCGTCACATGAGAAGGACGAGACTAACACAAATATTACATTTAATTAAAACTACCAAGTGGTTATGTAACTGACATATCCACTCTGGACTATGTCCAATGAAATTAATTACATGTTTACATATGAAATTGTTGTTTCCTTTGATATTATGAATATTTGTTTTGCTACACTTTGAATTAATGAATGAAGACAATGTTTTAAAAATTTTGCTAAGGCATGCATGAATACTCAATTATCAAAAATGTTTCTACAAACAAATGGAATACTCTTATTTTTGCAACTTTTAAGTTCCTTTTCCATTTTTCTTTTCTCTCTGTTCGGTTTTGGATGAACTCAAAAAATTTACACTGAACTATTTACGTAAGTTGCAAAAAGTAATTCAATTGAATAGGTATTAAAATCAGATGAATAATACATGCTCTAGTCGCGACCAAGTGATAGCTGTCAAAACACCCAACCTATACTAGCGATATCTATTATTAGCTTTCAAATTAACCCCCCTACAATTAATGATGGCAGAATGACAAAAAAAAAAACAAATAAAGTTAAAAACAATGCGCGCAAGACAGTGCTATTTTAATTAATAATAAACCCATTTCATGTGTTGAAATGTATTCAATGTTTTAATTAATAATAATCTGAAAATACAGTTTGCAAGACGCATTATATGAAACAGCACTTCCATACATAAACATCTAATATACATTGAAAAAATTAGCTAGGTTTTTCAGTCACATTAGTGAAATATTCATTAATTTTTGTGAATCGGCAACGCATGCGCCTCAGAATTGATCACGTACTTGTTTAAATCAATAATGTATCTATCGTCACTGAATAATAAGTACAAATACTTGAGTGTCTCGGACAAGAAGAAAGTTTCCATCATGTCTCGCTGCAGCGGCTTCTCAGACTTTACATTGGCGAGTGATGTGTAACCGTTTGGTACTTTTGCGTGCTTTTCTATGCTCTGTGTGAAATAAAAAAAATATATCATTAACCAGTTAATGTTTCCGGTACTGGCACACAGGTAGTACGTAATTATGGCCACTCACCCGATAACCGATCTTTTTGAAAGTTGCTCAAGCGTAAATTTCAGATAAAACTCCTCGAATATAAATATAGGTATTTGTATCAGGCATATTAGAATAGTTATTTAAGACATTTATCGCGCATTAAAGTTGTGCTAATATTATGGAGTTTTGTTGAAGAGAAATCAATGAATAAGCACCTAGTGATATCTTCACAATAACGCTTGAAAAATAAACTCACCTGATATATTTGCCAGCCCCACTCTTGAAAGGTGGTGTTGCCAGTTAATTGATACATATACCAGAGACTTTCTACAAATTCAGGTCGCAACAAACTGTGAGAGTCCGCAGTTTTTGTGTACATGTCGTCTGTGGTGCTAGCCTGTAAATAAAGCAACAATAACATTAGATACGTAGCTCAGTTACCATTGCATTTAAGTCACTTTTATGTAATTTAAGTATGTAACAAAGAAGGTTCGCAGAACAATATAGATTTTTTTTTATGACTTAAGATTGAAAATTACTTATATTATTGATATCGAATACAGCATAGAGTAAAATAATAATTTGTACAGTAGTTATAAAATCATACTTTTACTACTTAATAGTCAAATAATTTTACTATTGCTTTTTTGTTCTTATTTTAAGGTGTCGCATTATTATATTTATTTGTATTTTTTGCATGTTATATATATTAGTAAGGCGCCATCTACATCCACGAACAAAACTAATATTTCTTGAATTTTATAATATTTCGTGTCAGAGGTACGAAATCAAGTTACAAACCAGATTGAAATGCGTTATCTCCGGTGCCAAGAAGCTTGGATGCGCGGCATATGTCAAATAACAAGTGTAGAGCAACTCTTCAGCCATCGTCATGTGCCAATCTGGTAATCCATTCGCGTGACCCAGGGCCAATGTGCCGGGCAAGAAACAAGTCAGGTGATCCATTTTAGGGTTGAATGACTGAAAGAATATACACGCACATTTTTAGGGTTGAATGAGTGAAAGAATATACACACACATTTTGTTATTTCCAATTGGCCACTTGACTGTTTTGGAACAATTTAAAATACTTTTGTTTTGAATAGGGTATTTGAAAACATTAAAATGAGTTCATCCTATAAGATAAAAGCGTAGTAACACATATTTTACTTTATTTTAAACGAAATAAAGTATAGTATTTGTAGATTACACAAAATCAAATTAAATATTTTATTGGAGACTAAAACACCTTGTAAATGGTTGCAACTCCGATGACGTCACACGCTAGTAAATATGGTTTCCTCTTACTATTTAGAAGGAACAAATTATGGTATGGTTATGGGCATTCTCCTTCTAGCTTTTTTATTAAAGTATCTTCACACTCACCTCAGATCCAGCCGATAATTCACCAATAAACAAATACTTATTTGGGGACGAACGTTTTGCTAAAAATTCTCTGACGCCTTCGATCGCTGTCATGTAATCATCAAGAAAACTGTAAAAAATAATATAATTATTAAAATTTGATAGTTTACAAGTAACATTACATCTTTTAACAACAGGGTACATAATCGAATTTTGAAATTTAAAGGTGTGATTTTTTTTCATAGTGACGTTAAAACTTTATCAGATTTATTTGATTGATTAAATATTATAAGAACATAATGATACAATATGGGTTATTGGATACAAAATATAACATGATATTCAAAACAACCAAAATAAGATACATAGTCAAATCGCATAGCTTTATTAACTCAATTATTGACCTTGAGAATGACTAAGAAATAATGATTCAATACGTTTGCGCAAATTAGCTTATAAGTAGAACTAAATCTATGTAATTGGCTTTTATTAGATGATATGTTTATCAGGTAGTCTGACAAAGTTACAGAAAGCCTTAATTACTACATATTATAGCCATAAATATTTTACGTTATTTGTATTGAACGCCTTTGCACACACATTACATTCGCAAAGCCATATGTACAAACAAAATATTTTTTTTTAATAGCTCAGCAATGAAAATAGTCTTTTATACAGCAGAAGCTCCGTAGTCGCGTTTACACGAGGGTGAAAAATTGTAACCCAATTTTTGTCGTAACATCGGTAATATAAAGGAATTAAGCGTCGTTTATTATCACATCTTCATATTTTAAATACTTCGGGCATATATGAATGCGACTTTTATAACGTCTTATAATTTTGCTTCGTTGTAGCTTTCATAACATAAAATACTTTAAAAAAAGCTATTTTATGATTGCTACAGCTATTTAGTTATGAAGCTGAATTTAAAGATCTTTAAAAAATGCAAACAAAAAGGACAATTAATAAAATATTTAAAAACCATTATTAAAAGCTGACAATAAATATTAATTTTAATTGGTAATTCTTCAATAATCTTACCTAAATCGTATTTATTTTAACATACATATTGCTTTTATTTTGGAACATATTATATATAGAATTCTATACTAAATGGCATCCCGTATTCGCGGCATATTTAAGGAACGTATTCTCCGCTGCGAATAAGAAGTTTCTACGTACTTGGAGTATAGTACCTATAAATTTTTGCTAAGCTATTTTAAGACTTGAGCATTAAATTAAAAATTCTATTGATACAGTATCATATTTCATTATTGAAAATCTATTTTTCTCTCTGACTCTGTTCACGTCATTCCAATATGACTAGGAATGAAAAAGACAAAACACTGTATAAATATACAAAGATTACATATTGCTTATTGGTAAGGCCATAAAAAGAGGGACAAGCACAGATATTATGTTAGCATCGAAAGAAAAAAATATATTTCGCTCTCACATATTTTATGTAATTGTGCATTATTTTGCGTGGTCTAGAAATATGAAAGATAGCAAATGACATTGACACAAAATTTAAATATGATTTTTAACTTACTAATTGACCGTTTTTCCGGTTTGCAGCCATTGTTTCAGTAAGTACTCGTAGTAGCTGTCACCTCGGGCGCCTAACGTTATTGTGGCGTGCGGCAAGAAATGTCCGGTATTTGGATTGATGAATATGGGCACTAGACCATGCTTCTTCGGCAGCTGATGTATCTTCTCCGAAACTACCGTTGCTGCGTCCTATATAATACATTTTATCTTCGCATTAAAAGAAAAGGTAAAATATCATTTGCTAATTAGATAACATCACATACATTTCTAAGATTACAATATAAGAAGTTATTATGAAATATCTATATAATTATTTTTTTCAAAGTGTCAACTTTTACACAGCTTCATTCGTTTGAATTGTCAATAAACTGGTGCTAATGATCTTAATAAAGAAAAGTGTCAAAAAAATAGATATTTTTTTAATAAATGAGATTTTTTAAAGTTACTAATAATTAAAACATCGACACAGACATACCTGTGTATCAATTTAAATATAAATGAAATATATATAGCCCATGCCATTGAATAATTTAAATTCTTTTGTTGTGCGCCAAAAAAATATGTGCGATGGCAATATTCTTGTCATAAAATAACAATAAAAATGTAACTTGTCATAAAATATTAATGAAAATGTACACCCTATTGTAATGTTGTTTGTGGTGAGAAATAAAGTTTTTATTAATAAAACAACATATTTACACAATTCGAATATTCCATCTATACTTCACCAAGCAAATTATAACTAATTTTAATAGTGTATTGCATATTGAATAATAAATTTACAACATATTTTCGTTAATTATAGTAAGAGTATTTATTCACTTCAAATGCTGGATTGCCAGACGCTCGGGATAGCTCCCTGAATTCCAGTTGAACAGTGGTGACCTCCGCCGTGGTACTGTAATGGGACCATTCCGGAGCATGAGCGGTCCGAGTACCAAGGTTCACGTCCGAATAAGGAATGCCAGAGGGCGATGAAAATCCGGCCATCAAACGCTCGCCAAGATCTTTCTGCGGAATATAAATACAAAAATGTTATCATATTTAAAAAAAGGTTATTATAATAACAAAATTTTCCAGAGTAAACTACTTCCACTGAGAAAAATGTTTACAAAAACTACTTAAATAAAAGTGTCAAAACCGCACCGCTTTTTCAAGAAACATCTCATCTTGTGTGAAGTGGTAGTTGGTCAGTAGCGCGCCAAGTACCCTTATTGTGACTTCGAAAAAATTTACATCCTTATTCTTAGTGAACACCAAGTGGTCTTTAATCCACTGTCTACCCTCTTCAAACTCTAAAAATAAAGATAAGCATTTTTAACTATTGTAGATTCATTTATAAAGACCATTATAAAAATAATGGGTATAACCAAGCCAACCTTCAGTTAAACCCATAATATATGCGGTATCTAAACCATCAACAATGGTTAGTCCAAGGGAGAACCAATCAAATGCCATGCCTGATACAGGCTTCAGGTTATCATGGCCCCAAGCGTGTTCCTTGTAACCTCTCCAGGCATGTTTAAAACTTTGCACAACGGCATATTGTCTAGCGTTACCTGGTCCTGTAAGTAATTAAAAAAAATTACAACAAAAATTAAGTTTTTCTTATAGGATCATTCAAAAGGACAAATTTATCCTTGCTAAACAGGCTGTTGAGTCTCCTTGACTTCTTTTATTTCTTGTTGATGAAAGTCAGCATAATCCAACATTCAAAAGTGCTCAAAGTACTGACATAGCACACAACGCAAATTTAAATAATTTTTGTTAAAAGATATAGTTGAGCAATTTTGAATTCACAAGGGTATATTGATATATTATATCACTTTGAAGAAAAATTCTAAAACGCTTCTTCGCTTCTAAAGCAAGGTACCCAAGATGTGATTCATACCCATAAGCACAGAATAGGTGTTTTAAGCAATAACTTTTCATAATCCAAGTGATTATTCTAACCATTTAGTTACCTGAGCCAGACACATTATTTAAGCAAGTTTCAAAGAAGGTTAATCAAGCTCCTAACATACTGTATAAGTACAAGTGTGTTTTTCACAGACCGTTAATAATTACAGTCATACCTACCCGTGAACGCAGGCCTCTCATTGAATTCATTCTCAATAACAGTCTTCATAGGTTTAACGGCGACAGCTGCCGATTCATTGACTAGAGACACATTTTTTACAGGTTCCTATAATCAAATGTTTGCGTTAGCAAAATGATTACAACTAAAACTTAACTATTTGTACTCTGAAATTTAATATAAAAGCTATTTAAATATTTTAATGATAATTCCCATATGGTAGCACTTTCAGATAACATGTTTAGTAATTCAACACCAAATGGGAAGTCACCAGATCCCTTAGACTACTAATAGTAATTATGATAAATTTAACTGATATTATTTTAACTGTTATCAGAAGCAACTGACCATTTGTATAGTTATTTTTTATGCATGATTTTATTACTGAGAATGGTATAATGGTTGCATACAAAAAGATACGAAAGGTTAACTTACTTTAACTACTTTTTTAATTTCATCTTTATTTATGTCAGTGCTAAGCTTTGATGAATACAGCAATATTAATACAGTGATGGTTATCAATAAAAATGCATAAACTAATGATCTTTGAAGGCGTGAGAGTCGATTCCACCTCTGAAACAACAAAACATTATTTTTAAGTTACATATATTCCATTCAAGGTATTTGAATGCAGAAAAGTAGAATGATTACAAATCAGCAAAGAATTTAATAAAGAAAATAGTATGATCAACATTATGATAACATTAAGATCATTATTTGGAAGTATTTTCCTTAAATGAGTTATGTGTGTACAGTAGAAAAGTTGAAACTAGTAACTAATCCTGCGTAATCATAGAGAACAGTTCAGTAAGCTTTTTTTCACATTAGTCCAATAACAATCCAAGTGAATATGCATTTCTTTTTTCCAAATGATGATAGTTATATCACTTTCACATATTTAAATTTACTCATTTGTATTTTACTGTTCTAATCTAGGACAGAACTTAACTTGCTCACCCGTATAATATTCTTATGTGAAACTGTTTGTTGCTGTTCTGCAATAAAAATTGAAGTATCCATTTTCGGATTCCATTTTTTTGTTCCACTGTACCTGTCATGGTGATGGTAACTAATCTGTGACTCAGCACCAGTTTCTATCATTTTGAACACTCTATTTACTTACAGCAACATCTTATCTGGAAAAAACAAGTTTTTCAACTGTTCAATTCCACTGCAATTTTCAACTTACACTCAGAGATAACATAATGATCTATTTACACTACTACTAGTGTATGTATCTATATACATCTGCATGTGAAGTGCAAACAATTTCTGTTCCTAGCTTTCATCGTTTTATTGAGCAATGAGATGTCAGTGCAGAGGTTGCCTACATGCTGGCACCAGTATAAATACACCATAAAAACTGTTTGGCTGTGTATCGGTTTCAACTTGATAAACTCAAAATAATCTAGATTTCATAAAAGGGCAAAGGCAAAGGTCTTAGTGTAAACAATATGTGACAATTAGCTTCAGTACTTCAGACTAGATGTACCTTTCAACCTTGCAAAGCCTGGGTGGGTCACAGTCTATGTATTATTGAATGATGTTTTATTTTCTTTATTCAAAGTATTTATTTTCCATTAGTTAGCACCAACATGTGGCTTCTAAGACTTAAAACATTGTTTACCTACTTAAATTATTCAAGGCTTTGTAATTCAAATTAAAAACAAATATTCTGCAATGTTGACAAGGTACATGATAGAAACTGTCAGAAGCAAGTTACTTACTTGATCCATACATGTTTGCATAGTTTTTCGTCACTAGTTCTAAAGGCCGAAGGAAATTCTAAAATACTATAATTTTCTTATGGAAAACAGATTATAAAATGTATTTATAGCCATGATAGCTAATTCATTTGAAAGTTATTTATGACCAATAAACTACCACACGTAGCAGTTAAAATAATCAATTTGTTTTGTGTTTTTGATAGATGTTCCACGTCTACACAATAAAAATTCAAAGATATACTTTTGCAATGATTATTCGCATTTACATACCTTGATATTTAAACTTACGATTACCACAAAGAACCATCTAATATTCTGAGAAACTTAAACAACACTCGTCTTACACATAGTTTTAAAAAGTTTGTTTAATATAGATATTTATTTCCAAATAATTTTATTTTCCGAAAAACCGACTGACCGATAATCGACATGCCAAAAAGGAACTGGCAAGTAGGGATGACAAGATTCATTGATATTCGATTATCGATATTTAACGGAATAACATCAATGTTTAGGATATTGACAAACCAATGTGGAAGTATTAAAAAAAACATAAGTCCACGAAATCAAACTATGTCTGGATGGATGTCATGATAACCTCATGACAACCTCATGACAACCTCATGACAACCTCATGACAACCTTACCGGTTTTCTTTCATGTATAAATCTAAATAAATTTTCAAAACTCAATAAACAACTCATATTCTTTTTGTACTTTTTCGTATTTGTATTGATATTCTAAGTTTCGAACTGTACAAATTTCAGTTTTCTTTTTAGTGATTTCTTATTTTTCTTAAATACTCCCTTATTAAAAATAGAGTTAATTATAGGTGGACCAGAATCTGATGGTACAAAAACAAAAGAAACAATTTCGATTTTCAGGCAATGTCAAATGTTAATTAATAACAACTATCATGTCAAAATAAAATAATATTTATTTCATTTTTTGAAAATTCCCAAAAAGATATTTCTGACTACCTAGTTTTGGTATCATCAAAAAGTTCAAATTTTAAAGAAGTTCTGAATTCAAATTAGGAAAATGTATGATTTTCATTTTATTTTCTTATTGTCAAAATAATGAATCTAATGAAGAAATTCGATACATTTTAAAATTTTATTACAAAAATACAATGCAAGCCGCGATAAAACTTTATGAGTACCTAGTGCAGTTTCTGTATGAGTAGCACAAATTTGGTTTAAGCATTTTTAGTCCGGAAATTTTGATGTCAAAGATGCGCACAGAACCTGTCACCCTGTTATGAGCCAAGATCTGCATATTATTATCTACGAACTACTATGAAGAAACCAGTTTTGGTGTCTTTGAAAAAACACAAAAAAACAAACAAGTTGGAACCGTGTACACATTTGTGATTCTTTATCACGATCTAATGAAACCGACCCATTTTTGAAGATGTTGATAACTGGTGATGAAAAGTGAATCACGTACGACAGGAACGTGCGAAAGAGGTCGTGGTCAAAGGTCACAGTCACAGATTGTGGTGAAACCACGGTTAACCCGCAACAAGGTGATGCTGAGATTATGGGATTGTAAGGGCATTATTCATTATGAGCTATTACGGCCTGCTGGTTTTAATTATATAGTGATCATAATATACAAAAAATAAATTGGATTTTTAGCCTTTTTAATTAAGAATATTTTTCCGTATAGCATTGTGAATGTACAATTGATAAAATATAACAAAGAATATTTATCCAGCAAATACCTATAACTATGTTTAAATACAGATGAAAATGTCCATTTATTATATCTATTATTAAATAAAGAAAGAAATAAAAAGTAATTTAAAACATAAAACCGTTTTCAAGAATTCATAATAAAGAAAAACAACTGAAAAGAGATATTTATGAAAAAAAAAGTCATATGTGGTAAGAGAAAAATAATTTCTGACATTTTCAGGTAGTGCCCTTTTAGTTTTTATTAACGACATGATAAAAAAATTGTTGGTGTATCGACTTTTTGTTTCGATTTTATTGATAAAAAATATATGGTATCATTTCTCTCTTTTCAGTTGTTTCACTTTGTTACGAATTTCTAAAGGGGGTTTATTTATACATATTTTGTTTTTGTTACTAATTTTTTGTCTATATGGTGCAGAGAGCAATGCTTGGTGTTTTCTTACGTGATAGAATAAGAAACGAGGATATGCGTAGAAGAACTAACGTAACCGACATTGCTTGAACGATAGCTCAGCTGAATTGGCAGTGGATAGGACACATAGCGAGAAGTGATAATAGTTGATGAGGGCGGCACAGGACAGGACCGATCGTCGTGGAGATCCAAGGAGAGGCCTATACCCAGCAGTGGGCTTCGAACGGCTGATATGATGATGAATACTCGCCAATCGTTGCATTGAGTCAGTATGAAAGGGTCGTGGCCCATCCTGCTATAAGGAAGGCCTGAGTCCCTGCAGTGGGGACATAAAATTGCTGATGATGATAATGATTCTATCTTCAGGCCGAAAAAAGAATCTGAAATTATAGATCATATTTACAATTGAAATTTTCTTTGTTATTTTGAATGTTTATGAAAGAGTTAAGTGCTTGATACTCATTTTGGATTGGGTCATTTTGTAAATTTTCCATTTTTTATAATTGTTACAAATGCTTTTTCATTTCATATTATATCGACCGACATAACATTATTTATTTGGCTACATAAGATTTCAATATTTATCGATATCGATATTTTCGAACATCGACATTGCTGGCAACCATAGAATGGGGCAGTGTTGTTAGTACAATAAAAATCAATCAAAGTTTATGGTTTTACAAAAATAGGCTGTTCAACATGGTTTGCTATTCTTATTAGCATGCAAATATATTAATTAATACCAATATAATAAAAATAAAATAATTAAATCATGCAAAGCGGCCAATATAAATCATGGCAACATTATGGGGAGTCGAAAAGGCCTAGTCAACCGCCCAGGACCCGGGCAACAGAGTAACATGAGAACGAGGGATTCCCTGAACAAGCCGATATGAACCTACCGTGATCCCAGTTGACCCTTTCTGGCTGGGCAATGTACGCGTTTCGGTTGCCATAACGGTGCAAAGTGAAAATCTGGAGAGGGTGCTAACGGAGAGGGGAGCTGGTTATTTTGCGGCATGGTGGAGAAACATGACCATTATTAGTATTTATATTTTTCCCTAATTGGTTGATGACTATCGAGCGAGCCTCTCGAAGGTTGACCACCAATCTTATGTTAGTCATGCATGGAGGACTTGAATGCCAAACATCCGATTTGGAGTTCCCCATTCACTGACTGTGAAGGGAGACTTGTTGTAAAGTGTGTGACAGCGGCTGGGCTCATTATGACCAATCGGAGCACTACTTTTACCTGTGTGTGGTCGCAGGACAGGTCCATTGTGAACGTAACTTTCATGACCCCCGCACTGGCCCCGCAGGTACATAACTGGAAAGTGTATATCATGGAAACCTTGTTGGAATACAGGGTGGCTGACAGGCCAAGAAAAAGGCCCGTATATTGGTAATCGACCAAAATAGCCTTCCTACGTGGTGCTTGTACCAGAGCCAAACGTGCCCTTAAACGGTGCAGAAGAAGAAGGAAGATGCGAGAAAAGCACCCTGGGCAGAACGTACCACGAGAAGAAAAAGAGTTAAAGCGTGAAATCTGCAAAGAGAAATCACAGGCCTGGCAGTACTCCTCCCAGAACTGGACTTTTTCTGTGGGGGTAGACCTTATCGGATAATCAGAATCAGGCGGTAAAAGCAACTGCCTTCCACGGATTCACTTGATCCGGAACGCCTGGAAAAATCTCAATAGTACTGCCCCTGACTGAACAGATGATTAATTTCTTCATGTCACTGCCCAAGTAGCACATAAATAATATAATAACTAAAATAAGTACCGATTTATGTCCTAAAGTCATACTAACATGTTTAATCAGCACTGGTCAAGTTTCGAATCTGTTTAAAGGCATTTATTTTATCTAATTATGCTTAATGCCATATTATGGTTAATAAAAAAAGTATACCAATGTCAAAACTCATATTTAAGTATTGGGTAATATTAATATAAAGCTGTTATCGTATTTCGGTGATATGAAAAACATTATATATTATATAAGCATTAACTTAATATTATTTAGTGCACTTAGTTGTATTTAGTCATTTTCTAGAAACAAAGGTTTTCTAATGGCCTATGGTTGTATCGATTTAATGCTTATCCTATATACACATTGAATAAAGAACAAGTAAAACTTTAGCACTGATTTGTTCTTAAAGTATTCTTTAATCAAGCTCAAGCTCCTTTATCTTCTCAATCTATTCTTTTATCAAACATTAGGCTATATTTTGATCAATATTAAGTTATTTATACAGATACAAGTCATAAATAGATCGTAATTATTTTTTATGTAAAATTATTTTATGTATTGTATTGTAATGGTGGCATTTTATACGCATCGCTGGCGCCATGAACAAAAAACGTTGGGAAAAACAAAGATAACAGGTGGATATAAAAGAAAACTGAAAAAAGAGTATTCTAATTTAATTGAAGCTTTTAAAAATCAAAATAAAAATGAAATAATCGTTTAATGATTATAAGCACTATAAGATACTTCTGAAGTGTTAAAATACGGATGAACCTAAAATGGGAGTGTGTTATACGGTGAATTACGAGCTCTTAGTTTTGTGTCTAACCATAATACGATTAACAGCTCTACTACACTATATTTGAATACCTAATGCTTTAATTTTACGAGTCGCCATTTGCTTTCTTTTTCCATTTCTTACAATAATATTTAAAGTCAACTGTATGAGATTAAAAGGGGTAAATAATCATTTATTTTGTACACAGATGCCTATAAAAGCAATTATGTTGTTAAAACAATGCTAAAAGCCTAAAATTCAACAAAAATTTTTGCTACTAGGTTAAATTTTCTATTATTTTTATTATATTAAAGGAAGTTTGCGAAGGCGCGTGTATTTTACACCATAAACTTGTATATTTTACTCCACAAACTGATGTTTGCAGCTTATTTCACTCATAACTAGCTGTGTAAATGTTAGTACTCTCCTGTTCAATATTAAAAAATACTTAAAAGATCAGCCAAGAGAACGTGTCATCATGACACACAAAACAATAACTTAAACCGATTATATATTTTTAAAATCTATTAAATATACTTTTTTACAAAGGAAGTAAAACAGTAAGAATTTTAATAACATTAAATTAACGTATTATAATTTTGATTACCGCATATCAATTGTAACATAACCACAAAAAGTTCAATTAGCACTTTAAGGTGCTAATTGAACTTTTTGTGGCTATTAGAATGCTTTTACCCGATTTTATTAATGCTATTATACAAAAGTTGTAGTGCTATTGCACAGCTTTTACAAAGCTTAAAGTAACGCTTGGACTCGTGCTATTATAAAATTGATATAATGGTGTTTTGTGCTACTTGGGTGAAGACGAATTGCGGGATGTAATACACCTATTGAAGGACAAGATAAAAATGTAATATATTATTCCTATTTGGGGATTATTTCTTGGTCCGAGACCAGTTAAAAGATAATAATGTTGGGCGTTCTTATCTAAGTAAAGTTTCGTTTGTAATGATTATTTTGTTGCTTGTTTGAGTCAGATTGTGATTTGTTATAAGTAAGATATGGGAAAGAACCAATTTGATCCTTCTAGAGCAATACGCTGTTTTCATTTCTTTTTATTTCTGTTTTGGTTGTCTTAGGATATAAGAGTTAATGTATTAGTTATAGTGTATTTATTATTTTTATAATATTGCTTATCATTTATTTCATGTAGCTTGCTATTTATGTGTTATTAAAACTTTAAAGTTTGCTTATAGTGGAATCTATGTACATATTTTCAAAATTATTCTATTTCAGATTCTTCAGCGACCCATCTGACAGTGTGTTTCGGCAAAAGTTGCGAAGAAGATAGAAAAATCGCACTGCAAAGACAATTATTATAAATGCACCTTGTTATTTTCACATTTTATATTTCAAATTGGCCATTATAAAAAATTCAAATGTCAAAAGCTACATTTGTTGACATTGCTTTATAGATTCTGAAAGGATTTAGTGCGGTCTGTGATTATACTGTCAATACGTATATTTTTCGATTATTCTACAAAATATTAATTTAATTCATGCGTATTTGAAATTTGAAGTTTCTTATAGTATAATATAGATGCCTCATTCAGATTTTTGGCCGTTTGGAGTGTCTAATAAACCCGTTGTTTGCAAAACATTGGATAATAATGACGTGGATGGGGAAGCATCTTTACTGGTAAATAATTTTGGCAACATTTTTAAATCATAGTTCTATTAAACTATGATTTAAAAATAGTAATATTAATTAATAGTTTAATTATGACTTTATAAGTCTATCAGTGCTTTATTCAGACTGTAGGTATGTTTTAATGCAAAAAACAATGTTGTAAGTTATACATTATGATTGGAGAGGGCTAAAATTAGGGCTATTTAACTGTTTAACCTATGATTAGGGTAGGTTAAGTTATCTAAAAATGTTAATTCCTTTTTATCATTATCATAGGGTCATGATAAACTTTTTATTCTACCACCTTTATTTGTATTTAAAGCAAAAACAGCTCGGTGACATGGAAGGTGAGGTTAAAGAGATTCAAATGGAACTGGCTGCAATTAAAAGAGACCGTTTAGATCTTCAACAGAAAAAAAATAACGAGGTGGATAAAGTAAGTACCTACTAATGAGTTATTTTGAAGATATCCATAGCCAAATCGACCGCAAGCGGTTTTAAAGTTTTTGGGTTCTATGTCTGATCGGGTCAATGTAGAAAATGAACTTTACTATGTTATTGTTGCGGGTCTGGGTGTTATGATATCTTCGTTGTTTCAGATTTTATTAATATAAGTGCTTTAGCCACTAACTAATTATCTGAGATGTATATGACGTTTTCTCATATAAATTAGATACCCCTGTAGGTATGTTTAAATGAAGAGTTTGATAACGCAGTCTGCGATGCGGCGGTTAAGCGAGTTTCGCATGGGTCATAAGATGGGTTATCTATAATATATTGTCTTTTTTGTTTCTAATCATCAATGGAAGGTAGAACACACAAAATGTACTCCGTCACTGTTGTCACCTCTGTTTGTTTCACATGACGTATATACATAAAGCTGCATGTCAAACTATAAGTACATTGTGGAATTTGTGGCGATCGCGCTACGTATAGAATTTCCCTACTAAGAGAGGTCTGCTTACGGTGATGGTGTGTAGCGTGACATGCGGCCGTGTGTACATAGTTGTAATGGAATACAGGATACATCCGGAATGCAATATTCTCTACTATAGATGCTATACCCACACTTTAACTCCACATGTTGTATAATCTTGCATTATGTTGAGGGTACTCTGTGTGTGGGTGTCTGAGGGTCTATTGAGCGAATAGGCTGGTTGGACTCATGGTGTGACCCACATTAAAACGTCGCTCACAGTTACTACATGTGTGTAAATCATTTTCCTTACATTAAAAAGGTCTTTCTTTTAGGCACTAAGTATGCGTAAAGTTCAAAGTGCAAGATGTGTGCTATGTGCTTACTTAACTATGCTTTAATGCGTGCCAAGTAAGTTGAACCAAAATGACGAGTTTTCACTTAACCGTTTTGCAACGGTTACCCGCTGTATTCCGAATTTCGGGTGAGACCTGAAGCAGTAATATATTACTGCGCAAACTCCATTTTGGTTCGGACATTTTTTTTTTAAGTTGAGTACATTTTGCAGGAGCTTGAAATAGTAAAAGATAACGCAGCATTTATCGACGGTAGGCCGCCCATTGGCCACACCAGATTATCAGAGGTACCTATATTATAATATTTGCATATATCCCATTTAAAGAAACTAGCAACTTAAAACCTTATTCCAATATTGTAAAGGTATCAAAACTTCGAGAAGAGTTGATTAGAGCAAAGAATGCAGCGGAACAAGAAAAGTTCCAAAGAGAAAAGTATGAAGCCAAATTGAGAGACCTGGAATCGAAATTAAATATGATATGCTGTAAAGAGTCAACAACAGAAGAAAAGGCATGTAATATAATGACTTTAAGAAGTATTTTTGTTCATCGCGAGTCATCTGAAATAAAATACCATTATGATATCTAGTAAATACGTATTTGAGAGGTTTAATCTAATTAATAATCGATGATCGTTGAAGCGGTAAGGTTCTAGAATGGCGACCGCGTGTCGGACGACGCTTACTGTGTAGGCCTCCCACCAAGTGGACCGACGATCTAATAAAGGTTGCAAGCAGCGCAGGACCGATTGTCGTGGAGATCAAAGGGGAGGTCTACTCAGCAGTGGGGCGTCGGACGGCGAATGATAATGATAAAAACTAACAAGTACACGAAAAGGGCCAAAGAGTTTTTACTGTGTTTACCCTATATGAAATGGAATTATGCACGTTTTTATGTAAACCTGAATGTTTGAATACAGGATCATCGGAAATTCACAGAAGAGGAAGTAAATTCTATGAAAACGCACATACGCGACTTGAAAGAGGAGCTGGAAGAAACTCGTATAACGGTAGTCGAAAAAACAGAACAACTTCAAGAGTATCGTGTAAAGGTAACTTTATATATTTAATTTTTGAGGAACATCGAAAGAAAAGTCCCTGTAAGTACATATTCTGATGTTTTGTGAAGTTAAAACAACAAACTACATTATTTTCAATGTCATGCCGAAATTTATATAGCTAGGTTTATAGGCGAAACTGTCAACTTATAAGTTGAAATAACTGATTATCAACATAATGACAAAATATATAAATATAAAGCTGAATCAAAGGAAAATATGAAGTCAAGTTCTAAGTTGTCTACACATAACATAGCAATTTTTCTTTGGTGGCAATGTACCTTCACAAAAATAGATTAAATGAAAGAAGGTGACCACCTTTTCTTGGTTCATACCATCCTTAAAAAAAGCCTGACCATAAGATAGTTTTAAGCCAAATATTTTGCTCTGATAGCCTGACTTTACCTTATTTAAAAGTCAAACATCACCTTAATAATGCCTTTCATAAGTTTTTAAATTAATAATTATTAATGTCGTTAACACCGTACTGCTTTGTCTTTAACACTTAGTGCGTTCGTTCTGTAGATTTTGTGAGCACCACGTTACACCAGATTACATTAATAAAAAGCTTAACAAAACCGACCTGTCACCGGTCATATGAATATTTAGCCGGAGACTATGTAAAAACCCATACATGTCCAGTAAAAATCAAATAGATGTCAACCATTCGTGGATAACACCATGAATTTCGAATATGTAGTGATTTGGTTCTATTACATTTTTGATAGTACCTCCAAGCGCAACAACAAGTGGAAGAGTTGAAAAGGCAATTGGATGTTATAGAATTTGACAACAAACAGGTGTCAGACCAAATTCAAATTGAAATCCAAAAGATGAAGGTTAGATTTTTTTATTAACAAAATGATTTTGCGTAATAATTAAGTAAGCCATCATTATTAATCTGCTAATATCTTCAGTACCGAAAAAACCTGCCCTAAAACCTACAAAATAGGGTACAAACTTACCACGCAGACTAGCATGAATTGATGGGTATGTAAAAATAGGAAAAAAGTAGTTTAACTTCCGTCAGATTTGCACCGACCCGTGACCCTTGTCATGTTATATTTTCATTACTTAGTGGTATTTACAGATGCAATTTCAAGAGAAACTCCAAGAACTTTCTCCATTGCCAGATCTATTGAAAGGAGCTCAAATACAACTGCAGGAAGCAAAGCAAATGCAGAAACTTGCAGAAGATAGTTCACAACAACTCTCTAATGAACTACACCGTGTAAAGGAAAAGGTAATTTAATAAACAAGCTGGCTTGGTAAATTAATCTTTATATCTTTATAAATCTTGGTAAATATTTTAGAAAAACAAACTTTTTTACGGTATTGTCTAGTTTTCTCCTTTATGTATTATTTCCCTAAAAGCTTCACCAAAGTGACCAAAAGATTATCCTGTAATCAATAGCCAAGTTTCCTTAATAACAATGTCATAAAACAAAATAAAAAATATGATTGAGATTTTCCTTTAATATAACTTGTCAGACAATATAGCCCTGTGAAACGTTTTTTATATTTAATTTACCCGCCAAAAGGGGTCTTCATGTTTGAAATTCATTTATTTAACTCCTAAGACCACCTTTGGGTCATCAACTTTTACATGTGTGTACCAAATATCAATTCAATTCTGGAAAATCTTTGCAGAAGTCCGTTTTGTCCTTTTTATATGCAGAACCCTAAACATAACCTTTATATTCGATATAAATGGAAGAAAATATTCGAAAATTTTTCATGCTAGGTTTTTAAAGTCATTATTTATTTGTATCTAGTTCATGGGCTAATTAGTCCATGTCTAAGAGTTGAACTCTTAGACATAGAGTTGGATTTAATACAAATATAGATTTTAATAAGCCTTACTCAGCCTCGAATGGTTATTTATTTTTGACACAAAAATATTTTTCTATTTAAAATAATAAAGTCGTTTCCCTCTTTATTGCAGTTTATTATTTATATTCCTTAATTATTTCTACAATGATTAAAAATCTTTAACAAACAGGAACTATTTTCTACATAAATATAAAGTAGTGTACCACATAAAACTATTATTTTGTTTAGAATTTAAAAAACCTACGACAAGTTGCTTTCTTGCATATTTTCAGTTTATAATTGCTGTAAATAACTTAAACCAAGAAAAAGTTGAAAGAACCAAAGCATTTGAAGAGAATAAAGCGCTGAAAATAACCATAGAAGATAAACAGAAGGAAATTGACACTCTCAGTAAAGAATTAGACGAAAGCAAGTAAGTAGAGATTTACGTAATTGCTAGTAACTTTCATATGGTTGAAATATGTCAACCTCATATCAATTTATTACCATTGTTTACTTACACATAACTTTGTTCACACGACAATGTTATAAACATTGTGTTGTCAAAATCATTTTGTTAATAATATATATCATTTATTTGCGTTTGAATAATTTCATTGAAAAATATAAAATACTGTTAAGTAAATACTATGATTAGGACTTGATTAGTAGTAAGGTCATTAGAATAATAATACTTTTCGGCACTGAAATCTGAATTTTAAATGTTTTCTCTGCTTTTATCAAACCAAGTATGTTCCCACACTAAAACAACCTAAATAAACTAAAATTAATCATAACAAAAAATATACTCACGAGACTTTAGACCGACTATTGCAACATATTATATGAATATCTTTTTAAATGTAAATAAGACTATAGAATCCACAAAAATATATAATATATATTATTAAGTTGAACCTATAATACACCCTGTTAGTAACAGATAATAAGGAAGCCCAGTGTATTTTGTATAAGTCACAAAATCATATATTATTACATAAACATTACAGTTTTCACTGTGGGAATACCCGTATCCCAATGGTTATTTCACGAGTGGGTACAAAAATAATGTACCCATGCTTTATATTTTTTTATGAAATATGCGCAATAATAGTGGTCGTTAACGCTATAAATACCAACACAAAAAAACTTAAAACTTATATTTGGTTAAAACTTAATACTACTTATACGTGTTTTTTAATGTTGTCACTAAGGCCACTTACGGTTAAATGGAAGATTTGTTGATAAGTTTGCGTATGTAATACACTACTTGTTTGAGAGACGTCATAATCTTATAGCTTTGTATATAGATTGCAATGGTTTGATATTCGAGTGTTTAATTCCATTCAAGTCTAAACTGAAGCTAACCTATTAAATAAAACAACATTAACCAAAGCCAATTAGGAACATGTCCATTCAGACGTAGAGGATCTCTCATTTGGTGACAATTCAATTTTTCAGATGCAATACTCTGCGGCTTGATGAGAAATTGATGCAGCTAGAGACACGCCATAGAGAAAAATGTACAGAATGCATGCAAATGTCGAAAGACATGGAGGAATTAAAGATTGAGAGTAGCAGATCCTTGAACAGGAGCAAGGAGAGAGCTGAATCGATGAGGAGGTACCTTCATACTCAGATCACGGAAATGGAACGGCAATTGGTACAAAGTCGGGCGCAGTGTAGACAATGTCAGAAGGAAAGAGATGAGGTAAATAATATCATAAGCTAAGATAATTTACAGAGAGTGAGTTCTAATATTACCTATATTTTTTCCTGAGACGTGATTTCAATGCAATTTTTTTTTTCGAAGACCATTTAAAGCGAGATCTGAATATTAAGGCGGAATAAGTACTAAAAAAAAACAAAAGTATTAAAAACTTAGTTTCGTAAAATAAAGAATTATATTTAGAAAATTTTACAAATGACGTTATGAATCTTGACGTTGTTGAATATTTATTAAAATCAATTTTATCGTCTGCAATATCATGTTAGAGAAATTCTTTGAAAAGGTCCGTTGCAATTTCTGCGTTAGAACTACCTGCTAACTTGATTTACGTCGGTTAAGGAAGTTCAAAGTATAGTAAAATGATATTAAATGGAACACTTTCCGCTGGATGTAGTTTGAAGCAAGAGTTTTATATTGAAAGGGTATGAGTTAGGCAAAGAACGTGAAGCAAGTTTTGTTATACAAATTCGATAAAATTCTGAAACTTTATTTTAAAGTATAATTTATTTTAAGTTAGATCACTCACAAAAATAATGCATTTTGTGTTAATATGGTGTTGTGTGTACCAAACGACAGTCTGTAGATGACTGTCCAGTGCTCAAAGCACGAAAATGATTAGGTTATCGAGTGCATATCGAATTTGTATTGATCACATATTGTCATAACCATTTTTTGATTTTATATTTGCATAGCGCCACATGTTTCATTAAGTAAACGAGATATATAAGTACTCGATATGAATATAATTAACATTCAATTGTTATTTTTAATCCTACAAGTGCTCACTTATCGAAATTTATCTTTGACACAGTTGTCACTATGATTAGCTAGTGGGAAGCGAAAGAGGGAGTTATAAAAATCAAGATGTTACAAATAAAGTATAAGCTACAGCATAATAGATAGATATCGAATATTTATTAATATGTCGCACGTTGAGAATGACAATGTCACTAACCAAAAACGACGTATTTTTTTTACTTTTGGCAACATTTTTCTTTGTTAAGTATAAACTTTAAAATGCAAAGATCCCTGTGAACGTAGCTTGCGTAGAAACTGCTAGGTGGCGTAGTGACGATACGTTGTTTAGAGGGGCTGATTACAATTTCTTGAATTTTAAACGCTCATTACTCAAAATCGCATATTTTGCATTGTGTCACTATCGTTCTCAACGTGCGATGTGTCTTTTTGTTATGAGATCTAAATATTGTACGTTTTAAAACAGTCGTTCTTTCACTGTCAGCGTTCGGAAAATTATCATACCTAGTAAATAATGAAAACCCTCGTAATTTAAAGTATTATCAGAAAGACCAAAAATTGATTGCCTCTCGTGATATTGAATATTTTAGAAATATTAATATTGAATCAAAAAACCCTGTGTATGTTGTACATTGTTGTTTTGGTGTACTACTTCTTATATTGAATACTTCGAATGCACTCTTCATACAGTAATTATATATATATATATAATTATTTCTATATATATATATCAATACAAATCTCAAAATACTCTTTTCTTTATCTCCAAAAATATATATAGTTCGAGAACAATGAAAACTTGTTAAACATGTGTAATATTCCTCCGTTTTGAAATTCAGGACTATTGTTTATATACAACGCAACATTCAATTATCGCAACTTATAAGCGATTATACTATAGTAAAACTAAAAATGTAAGCCAACTCGAGCCTCAGACGAGCGATAATAGCCTTAACATGTACGTCTGTGGTTTATAGGTTAGCTTATTCAATCTAAACGCATAATTCATCTCTATATACAACATGCGCCGCCAAGACATAAATATCTGACAGCATCACACACATTGTTCCGATTTCGAGTTAAATAGCTTAAGCACTTTTGTTACGAATATCAGAAAGAATAGGGGGAATACAAATACATACATAATATAAATACAAAACACCCAGACACAGAACAGACGTAATTTTTAATCACAAAAATGTTTGTCCTGGGTGGGGATCGAACCCACGACTTTCGGCGTAATAGTAGGAACGCCACCACCGCGCCATTGAGCCATGAAGTAGATGTACTCTTTGTACTCTGACTATACTCATCAGCGATGTTAGGGCTGAGCTTTCATTTTATACAGAGACTTTTAATTTATAAAAACCTAAAAATAATGTTTAAACTATTGCTGTTATAAATGAAACTATTTGTTTTATTAGATTCGTCAACGTATGCAGATTCAGATAAACAATTTACAAGAGAACTTCGACATGGTAGAGCTTCGCCTTAGAGCACTGCAGAACCAGGTGACGTCATTGAAGAACAGCTATACTGTTATACTGGCTGAAGAGGATGACAGCAACGAGTTTAATAAAATAACCACATCGAGTTATAACGATTAATTTATAATTTCTGATAAAGATTTTTGTAGCGTTATTTATAAATTTTAAATTTATCGACTATTTTTTTGTTTCATTAATTACTTTTTTAACTTAAAGAACAGCACAAGTTTCAGAAAAATCGGCTAGGAATAGTTACAATATTTACTGTCAAAGTTTATCTGACCTTTTAAAATGATAGAACTAAATGAAAAATGATTTCAAAAAGCTTAATTTTTTTTTTTATTAGATAAGATCATATACTTCATTTTTAGATAAGTAGCATTATGGTGTATCTCAAGAATCACACAATATCGAGATAGTATTTTCACTCGACCATGAATTGAACCCTCATTAGGACCTCGGAATTGGTGACAGCTTGAAACTGCTAGTCACTCGGCAACTATGGAAAATAGTGCCTTGCCATTATTTTGCTTTGTAGATGCCCTTTATCAAAATTTATTAGGGACCCAAACGAAGGTTAAAACTTTTTACTTAGTTAGAGGCCCCGTATCATTGATATGGCTTCTGCGACGGTAGCCTACACCCCTAAAAGTAGGACAACAGGGTTGTGTCGTACAAGTGAAAATACCAGTTTCTATTATAAGTTCGGAAAATATGAACCATTTTTACTTATAAACATTTAATTAAATAAATTTCATTACACTAATTTGAAATATTTTAAGCTTTGAAACCTTGAAAAAAGGCAGGGATAGCAGATATATTACAAAATCTTGCTAAAATATATATACATAAAACGTAACCACTTTCATTACAAAAATTTCGTGGCTTGAATTTGTAGGGAGTGTTTTTGGCCGACCAGGAGCAGTTCCACAAACAGCACCATATCTCTGAAACTATTAATCGCAGACACTTCTACATTATTTCTAAGATATTTACGGACAACGGATTATTCATTTATAAAAGAAAAAAGTTGTCGAATATCCTATTATAAGATGGTCAAAATATTCATATCAGTGACAAATGAAAAGTTGTAACTTCATTTTAAATTCAGTTACATGCCGCAGAATTTTAAATTACTGTTATATTCAAAAATACTATTTGCTTTTGCTAATTACAATTCAATAGTAAAAAGACTCCAACGAAATTAAAAATCACCTTATTCCTCATTGATATTAACTGTCGAGAGAAGGTCTCAAGGGAAATCTAACTGCAGTATCTGCATTATTGAGATGATTTATTTCATGCCATTATGCTTTCTTTGGCGGTTTTAGTATTGAGGTTTACTTATTTCTTATAAGAAAATAACTAGGTCTTTGTTCTTTATTTTAGATTATCTCTACATTTCACTGATATTTTGCGAAGAAGGTAGAAAGGACTGAACACCACTAAGTTTTCATTCATTTAATTAGAATAACAAAACCGAATTGCTGTTCTGTTATATAAACAGTCTCAATCTAGACATCCAGCATGTAATCAAATAGAATTCATTTCAAAATTTTTAGTCACTCATTCTGAGACCGCCCCAACGAAAGTTGCTAATTTCGCATCGTAGACCGAATGCGCTTACCACTGACTGTGCCATTAACTCCTCCTATTATAAGAATACCACATAGCAATCGATTATTAAGATTCAAAGAAATATATACTTGTGGTTGCTGTTGTGGCTTACGGCTAACCAAATATAAAATGAGGTTCATAAATGATATAATAAAAATCTCGAGCTATTGTTGCAAAACTCCCTTTAAACAATGAGAAGCGAGTTTACCGCGATAGTGATATTAATTCAAATACGAACAATAGCAAACTATTTTGGAAAAACGTAAAGAGAAGATCCTTTCTCTGATAATACAAAATGTGATGTGATGATATTATCAATGATTTTCTGAAAACTTCTGCTTCTAAGGAAGTCAACATAAATCACAATATTATGAGTATCACCGATTTTGGCTCAGCCCTCCTTTTAAAGTTGCATACTGTTACAGAGGCTGATGTCCAGATCTATGTTGTATTTTAGAAAATATCATTTATTTATAATACCAGCTCTCTGCCAGAGGCTTCGTCCGCATATTATACCTACATTTAATCTTCTTCTTGAATAATTCTGTACATTGATGAAAACGAGGTCGTGACTTTTCAATTTTACTAAAATCAAATCAGTATCCTTTTATAACAAAATAACATACGCTTTTCACCAAATATCACCCAAATATTTAGTTGATATGGTAAGACATGCCCCTTTCCAGCTCAAACACAAAAGATTGCGTATTTGGAATTCATTAAAAATCCGGAAGGTGAATATTTCTGTTTTCAAGGAGTATGTATATTTTTTATGAAAGTAGGTATGTTAATCTTTTTGAATAGGCTTGTGTGCCACTTTTCGTGTTTTTATAAATAAATAGTCCAATTTTATATGAGCAATAATGTATAAGTAACAATCTGGGATTAATAGTTTCGAAGATACAGTGCTATTTTTATGAAACTGCTGCCTAAAACGCTCTCTACAAATTCAAGCCATTAAGTGACGTCACACAGTGTAATTTAATGCCATTTTTAGCAAATTTTGGTAATATAGTTTCCCTACTATTTTCATGTTTGTCAGGCAGATTGTTGAAAAATACTGAATTATCATTAATAACGGCGACACATTGAGTTGAAATGTTGCATGACGTCACGCTTTTGTACATTTTCTACAAAACTGTGAGGTAGCGAGCCCCCACTCCTCAACTTTAATGCCTATTATCTAAGCTATTTCTTGTTAACTTGAAGTAAAAAAAAATTACGTATTTAATATTTTTCTATTATCTGACTAACGGACTAGATAGAATTTCTTTTTTTTTACACAATCGTCATCCTTATTCCTTTTTTTTTTGTAACAGATCGTATATATTTAATTCTTTAAATCTTTTTTTATTTAATTTTTCTAAGTATTTTCTGTATTTCATGAACAGAAATATTGAAAAATTACTAACTAGCTTTTACTCTCGGCTTCGCTCGCCTCGTGTAGGAAGCAGCTTCCCGTAGGTGAAATAATTATTAAAATCGATTCAGTAGTTTCAATATCTATGCAAACTATCAAATATTTATTCTATATGATATTACATAAACGTATTAACTTTAGAAGTTATCCTATTTACTTGTGCATGCGTTAAACACAGCTTTGAGCGGCGTAGGTACGCATAATAGGCAGTAGCGATAATGCCCTTGTTCAAGTTGAGGCCGTACCTGTCGACTTGCCTCGTTTAATGTCAACGCACCACGACCTTTATATTTAAACGCTCTAAACCTCATTTTTATCGAGTTTTTTTAGTCAGTACTTGAACCTAATAATGCACTAGTTGCTCTGGTACGAAAACAGGTTGAACAATCGGATCATTCAGAGCACTCAGTGTTAATTGTGCCTAGATAAAGGGCCATCGGATAAATCAAGCTTTTATATGTATGCTTATAAAGTATATTTCTGAATATAAGTGAACATGAGCTAAAGCCATTTTAATTAGTCGTTCGTTTAAGCTTTTAAAATGAATTCGAGATATTGCTGTGGTACTTATAGTATAAAATTGTAAGCGATTCAATATTCCTGAGGGACGATGGAGCAAATCTTATTACAGGTATTCGCCCGTACGCCCTCCCGGTTTATTGTTTCACATTCATTCCTTTCTACTTTGAAATTAATTTTGATTTCATAGAAGTTAAATAATACTTCACTTCCATTACATTTTATAATTTACACGATTTTGTATATTATACAAAATTGTTTCCTATTTGAATTAATATTTTTACGATCGACTGATTTGACTTTATCAGCGCTTTGACTTATTCAAAACTGTCAAGTTTCTGCAATAAATTTGAAATTCTTACTAAATAAATATATATACGTCTTTTTAAGAACACACTATTATCTCGGACCAAATAAAAAGTAAGACTTTTTATTATATAAAAACTTTTTATTTGATCTGAGATAATAGTGTGTACTTAAAAAGAAGTCGAAATTGTTTTTCCAACAGTTATTTAAAAAGTGGTATGTAGGTAGGGTCTTGGGTATTTAGCTTTGTTATTCTTATTCTTTTTGTAATTAAACATTTTCAGCAACACATCTACATAGATTGAAGGCAAATAAAAGATTGTAGTCCAGTCAAACTATATATTTTGTTTGATTTTTTGTCTTTTTGGTGCTCCATTTTTATTCGTAGTGTTTTTTTTTAATTATAAATAATACTAGTAGTTAGGGTCTCACTAAACCAACACAGACTCCTTAAATGGGCAATCAGGAGGTCTGTACAGATTTCGCGGCCCGGGCAATGAACTCGGCAATAAATAATACAATAAGGTACAAAAAGATATTCAACGTAGTACCATCCGATGGTCTCACACTCGCATACACGCTACACACACGCCAATAAGTCTTACACTATAATATCACTAACTATACAGAATGCGGCGAGGCCGCGTGCACTGAACCATTTATGTGTATGTCAGACAGGGTGATCATTCAAAATGCGTGCCCTTGAGCTTCTTGACGGCGTTAGTAAGATGCAGCATCTCCGTGTTCAGCTGCCAGATCAGAGTCTCCAGTTTGTCGACAGAATCGAGTACTTCAACGCGCTCAGTGTGAGGGTTGAAGCGGACCTCGAAGGGTCGTGACATGGTAGAAACCCAACGTCTGCAAGAAAATAAATCATTAAATCCTAATTCCTTCAAAACTAAATATGAAATAATACTACGAAAAGTTGATTCACTAGGTTACCTGAATTTGTCTTTGGCATCTTCGAAGCTTTCAGCGACATAATAGATGGGTTGGTATTCCTGATCTTGGTAGGGCTGCACCGAAGTAGAAGCTGGCTCGAAGGGTCTGAGCTCAGGTTTGTCGCTCAATGCATGCAGAAGTTCACCAATCGAAGAAAGGAGAGCGGCACCATAGGCTTTTAGTTGGTGATTCTCTTTGCAAAGTCCGAATTCCACGGTGAACCAATACACCTGAACAAGGAAAAAGGTTATTCGATATTGTGTGTACTGCCAAACGGCTGTAACAAATATCAATAGCAAATTTCGCATCAGCTGGGCCCATAATATATTATAAAAATAAAAATCGCTTCAGGTTTAACTTTACACATTTTGAATAATTTTACAACTTACGGTAGAGAGCTTTTCAATTTCTGAATCAGAAGCGCCAAGAGATGCGAGACCAATTTCTTGGGAGAATTGAGCGAAGCTGGGGTCAGCTAACAAAGGTATGTGTCCCAGAAGTTCATGAATGCAGTCACTGTAAAATAAAATAAGGTTCAGATACTTTGGCTATGCAATAGATGACCATAGTAGAAGCTGATATAATTAAAAAATCCTTTTGATGATGTAAAAATACTCCAAGCACAAAATTAAATTTAAGGGCGGCTTTGATGCAGCCTATAATCAAGTTATAAGTCTATCATGGCCTTGCTCGTTGTTCACTAATGCGTGTGAAACTATGTTGTTTTAATATTATATCATATTATTAATCATAAACATGAAAGGAAGGAACTAAATGAATCATTACATAATTAGTTTTGTTTCATTCAACCTAATTAACATAAAACTCAAGGAATAATGTTACGTAATAATATCGTATAAAAACTATTTCAAGGTGTTATCAAATAATTTAAAATTCTGAGATCTGTTAAATTGTTGACATTGTATATTTCAACGGCTTGTAAGACCAGTTTATCTTACAATTTCCGTATGTTAATGACAATTATATATGCCAATTAAAATATTATAGATTTTAATTAGTACTTACGGTTCGGGGGTATGGAACGGAGAGTTAGCGTGGCGCACATATTGCGTAGACTGGAATACGCGGAACGCCAACGAAGCCAAAAAGTCACGAGCGGTAAGAAGACCAGCTGCTGGACGCAGGGTGAAACCGGTATGTTTGCGTAGGAAGTTGCTAACGTCTTCCAACTGAGGAATGCGATGAGGAACAAAGATATCAGCCTCTTGAAGCTTTGTAAAAGCTGCTTTGTACTCTCTACAAGCATGTTTGGGCATCAGATCCAATACAGTGTTGAAAACTCGTTGCCAGGTCGCATTCTCGGTTTCCTTGTATGTGATAGATGGGATCGGATCACCGTATTTATAAGCGAAAGCGATCTCGGCAATCTGCTTTCGGCGTTCTCTGTATTCCTTATCGGCAAAACCAGGATGGTTCATGTCCAATTCTGGCTCATATTTAGTCATTAAGTGATTGCAATTATCGAGATCGGATGCATGGCGAGGGAACCATGGAGTTTTGTTAGAGATATTCTCACTCATGAGGCTTACTCCGGCGAAAGCGGTGGATTGACGAAGAGATCTTATTAGCTGCAGTAGATTGATACGAGACATGCTCACTTTCACAAGAGCATCGAATTGAACGTCAGTGACTTGAGAAGGACGTGTTTCGAGGTGTTGCACACAACCCTTATAGTTATCGATAGTTTTCAGGATACGCGCTAACGATCCCATTCCGTCGCGCATACGCAACAGTAGAGCAGCTTGTTGAATAGCCTGTTCGGCTTCAGGAGATTCACTGGCAGCGTTTTGCAGAATTACTTCTTCTTCGGTCAAGGTATAATCTACAAAGAAAATAATGAAATCAAACATTCATCTTTAGGCTTTTGTTTACTTGAGTTAATCACAATAAAAATTTTAATAATATACAATAAGCACTACTGACCCTCATCGGTCTTGGAGGCATCGTCACCAATGTCTGCATCAGCTATAATACAAATAAAACAAAAAACAAAATCAAATAAAGTGCAAAATTAGTAACACAAAACAAACAAAAAAAAAAATAAATAAATAAAAATTACCGAGTTGACCATTCTTAGTTTCGTCTTGTTGAGTACCGTCTTCAACAGTTGGTGTTTTATCGCCGTTTCCAATAGGTACTCCATCTTGGATGAATTCAGAGTCCAAGCCAGAGTCTATTTAAAGAAAAAAAATAAAAGAAAAGAAAAATAAGCATCCAAATCAAATAAAAATAAAATTAATGTAACAAAATGATTTCAATTTCACTTAGTTTTGACTGAAAATCTAGTCTATGTCTGTCTTTGTTGACAATTATACTGTACTGAAAATCTTTGTAGTACTTTCTGAAAATGAGATTCGATTTGCTTACCATTGGCGCGGGCACGAGCCTCTTCTAGTACACTTTGCTTGGTCTGTTTGACAACGAGTGTTTCAAAACGAGCATCGTCGACTAGAGAACGACGCCTAGAGGGGTAGCCGTTCTGTAACAAACGCAAAAAAAAAATTAAGAAAAAATTTATTTCATGTTAATATAAGCCTAACAAATATATGATAACTACATGTCGGTCCATCAGTATTAACTCTGATTACATTTATTTTTTATTATGAATCAATTACAGTCAAGCAAGCGTCACGGTGACCTAGACATAGTTTCTGCAGCTAATAAGACTATACGAACTACTCGAGTGCACAAAAAAGGAACGTTAAAAATAGAAGGATCTTCTAAATCCTTATAAATATAAAGCGGTCACATCGCATTATATTTCATGTGCGAGCAGGAATTGCTTTTACGAAGTTCCTAAGCTTATTTCCTGAGCGTGGCTGCGTAAAGTGCTCCCATTACACCCCGCCCCTCACCCGCCGGAAGCTTCATCTTGCTTTGGAAATCGCACAAAGGAATGCCAGTTTCTGGACCGCTGCACTCCAATGGATTCAATTGCTCTCAAGTCTAAACTTCTAGACATCTGGTAGACAACTTGTCTTGTTCGTCGCGTTCAAATCTTTTGTTCGGTCACAGTAGAGATAGTAAATGAATAAATAGTTATTAAAAGAAGTATATTCGATGCGACGTAATAAAATTTTCAAATAACACGATTTTAACAATGTCATCTAATCCGTATTTCCCTAATGCGTATAGTTATGACGATAAATTGAGGGCCGCGTCTAAAGCATTATAAGTACCTGCCGCGTATTATGCCCGGTGACGTATGGTCTGTCAGTTGCGCTTGTATTGAGACCTAACGTTTTCCACTAGAACGCCTGCGACAGCATATATTTGTGTCAAGGGCTACGTTAGGCATTCATCATTATAACTGAGCCCCTAAAACTTAGTTTCGTAGTGCATAATTATGCCTGAAAAAATGCTCTTGATTCGCATGCGAAATTTATATAGCGACCGTCAACTGAATTGCGGAAACGTTGCCGCATTGTGAAGTTAAAGGTCCACCTAACTGGAGCGGGTAGGACTCGGAATCCGGTTGATATAGCCTTGGTCTGCGCGAGTGGCCACTCCACCGTTCCAATCGGTCCACAGATAATTAATAACCGACACCAGAGCGCTGTCCGCTGACCTACGTCCACCTTACACCTATTATCTAAACTGGAGAGTGTTTGATTGATTAATCATTGCCGTAAACAGGTTTCGGCGGCATATGACAAAACAATTAAACTGCGCTATTATAAACTTTGTTTTTAAAATATTACTCTGTTTCAGTGTTAGTTGACCGTGGCGAAAATCTGTTGGTCAAGGCCGAAACTGAACCTCAGTTTTATTATGATTAATTCCATTTGCTAGTCCTTTGTTTTTTGCGTGTAAATTAGTGATCGGGACCGGAACTAGTTTACGATCGGTATCAATCAAAATATTTACGTGGAAAAATAAAATTTACTTAATTTAAATGTAACTAAAACGTTATGTTTTAATTTATTTATTGTCTCATTTCATTAGTTTCATTTATAATTGGACTTTATAGATCTTAGTTTTTGCAGTTGGTTTGGTAAGTGCTTGTTTGAATCCCGACCTTCGATGCTCAAGGAAATACGATAGTATAGAAGCCAATTATAAAATATACGTTAATTATTACACGTTAGTTATAAACCGGGTTATCGCACAGCAAAAAAGGCTCAGTATGAATAAACAGTAGGAACACAAACAAAAGCAAAAGCATCGCATTATGATTTGACATTATTTGGCAAGATCTTTTATAATGATAATTTAAATTCGCCACAATCGCTTTAGCTCGTTAGATTACGAGAAAACCTCTACAATGGAAATGAAATTGCAGTACGTATATAATGCAATAACAAAGAATGTAATTGACATGAGGTAACGACTAGTTAGCATCTTGAATATTGACAATAATGATTAGATCTCCTCGACACAATGATGTGACTACTTATCAATGGAATATTTCTATGGGGCTATTGAACTACATTCATGGCATCGCATCTCCAATGATTATCTGTCAACAATGAGTTTACATCTTCGTTACCGTGAATATTGTTACATAATTTGTCACACAAAAATCGTGGTGTCTCTGTGAAAGTGCACGGTGTTAATTTGTGAATTAATTACGTCAGATAATGACATTACGATCCCGTCTCTTGTACCGAACATAATAGCACCCAAACCAACTCACATGCTCTCGGACAATTAATTGAAGCGCTACCAGTGAAAACATTTTTAATGTCTCTTAATGTCACTGGATTTGTCTTCGTGTACGCACTTTCACACGAACCTTTATTTTTAAATCGGCCATTTGCCGTTTATACCGGTAAGTGCGAACTAAGTGATTATCATTGGACCGTTTTAAGACGATGGCTATGTAATTTGTTGATAATTGTTCTTAAAGCTTCTATGATATTAACTGCGTCTATTGTTGTTTATTCGTACAAGGCCGAAAGGTGATTTGACAAGCAACAAGTTGCGATTAGCGGAGAGGACGTGCGCCGTAAAGTAGAGGTCGCGTGGACAGTACCATAGCAGTAACGAAATTATTACTAATTTATGTACTTTCCGATTTATTAATTTGAATAAGATTTGTTTAATTTTAATTTGCATAATTATATATTAATAAAACCTCAATTTAAAAAGCAATTATACCGCTAGTAATGAGTTTGGCTCTACAAGAATAGTAAAATATCTTAGTGTTTTTCTTTACGTGATTAAATAATTGTATTTTGAATAAGAGTTTGTAAACTATCATATTGAGTTTAAGTTTTGTTTTGTTTGTTTTTATTAAACTAAGAGCTTTTATGGACGGTCACATGAGAAAACTTATTAGTAATAACTAATTTGTATGATGTTAATAAGTAACTTAATGAAACCATATGTTTGTAAAGATGCACTTTTGTTGAACACAATGTAAACCGTCCACAAAAACTTTTCGAAAACTGTCGGACCGCGAAAACAGGATGTCGGGGAGCCACCGGTCAAGGAATCGAGCCTCACCTCGATGCTGTAGGACTTCTTGATGGCGAACATCTCGCGGTTTTTCTGAGCTGCTGCGACGGCCATTTCTTCGACTTTTGAACACTCCACTGGGTATCGCCTGAACTGAAGTTCACTGCGCGCTTAGCTAGCGTAAGTCTGCGAGAGCTTTGTGTCTCGACCACGGGCTTAGGCCTGTCTGTCTGCGACTGCTGCTGTCGGACTACTAAGGCTAACTAAAGTTTGGATTGCAAACAGACCAATGCATGATGACCGTTCGTAAGAACAGTTTAAATAGTGTTAGGCGAACGCCTCCCACCCCGCAGCGCCTTTCGTCGCGCATGCGTCAGAGCCGCGCCCCGCGCGCCGCCCGCTTCTCCTGAGGGTCCTTACGTCAGCCCTTACAACCTCAGTCTGACTGAAGCCTACTTTACAGGCTTTAAAATTATACATATTATATTTTTACATATATTTTTTTCTCTTTAATATTTATTTTTATATATTATAAAATATTTAACATAAAATAAAACCATACGTAAATAATACGAACGTTTGGAAAATTTCACCATTGGAACAAGGACAATATTTGTTTTTTGAACTAATATTATGAATCAACCCACTTAGGTGTATGCCTATACCTTGTTATGAATCTAGTTGCCAATAAGTAATAAAGAATATTAATAATCAAACCAAATTACAAGTAATAAAATTATTGAACGTTTTGAAAATATCCACTGTATAATAAATAAATATTGCTTTATTAACAAGATTTATTTTCCGATATAGAAAAATTAAAAGAAGTCTACGTTACCTAGTTTCTTAATTATTTCTGTGTAAGTTCTAAAAATCTTTTTAATATTTCATGTGGTGAAATAAAATAAATTGTAATTTTAGGATAATTTAACAGAACTTTTATTTTAAAAAACCTCTTTTGAATGTACTATTATTTCTCAAAAGGCAAAATTGGCAACATTTAATCATATTTCTTTTTACCGCCTGTTCAAGACATTTTTAAGTTATGAAAGGGAATGAGATAAAGAAATATTACTTAATTTCCAAAATACCATTTAGTTACAATGTTAATTTTGACATATAACATGCTATTATATAATAAGGAAATCTATGGCTGGAATAAAGCGTTTTCACTGATACTGTCTTTATGCTTTCATTCTGCGCATCCAAGTTTTTTTGATATCTTTATTCTAAAATGTTTTAAATTGTTTAAGCAAATTTTAGGATCACTTCATCGGAAGATCTTCAAAAATATATTCTACTGCTAACTTCAGCAAAATATGTATTTCAAAATACTTTAATGAAAGTTTTCCCTAGTGTATGTTTTTTCTATCTATTAATTGAAATAAATAACGTCGAAGAAGTGATAAAACCTCTTATCTATTTTTGAATTAAATAATATTAAAAATTTTGATTTGCAAAAAAAAAAAAAAACTATCACAACATTTACTTTTCATTTTTTTTTTATGTGCATGAGTACATCTTTTATTTTTTGTAATAAACAATCATTCAATATCCATAGAGTAATCGATACTGAACGAGTATGTCTATAAGAAAAAATAAAACATTGATAATACAGTAGAAATCCTTTTCATTTAAAGATAATAGTTAGAATATATTGTGACTTAGTAGAAGGGGTAAGAGGTGGTGTCATCTAGTATAAAATATTGAATGACAACATATCTCGAAATGTTAGATAACCGTTAACATCAAAATAATAAACAAAATCATATTATTATCAAAGTAATCGACTTCCTATATGTAGACAATACTTTTCCGTATAAGTTTTTAAACCGGACAGTTATCGGTGTCGTGTTACGGATCCTTGGTGCGACCTTACCACAGGAAGTGAATTATTTTAAACACCAACACAGATGCAGGATGTAAGTACAAATATATTACACAGTAATCTCGACATGTGCAAACTGTGTAAATCATGTTACGTAGTTGCTAATAATTATAAATCATTTTACAATTAGTACCGGCATTATGTCCATTTTGATAAAAAAGAGAAGCACTTTTTCACTATACGGTTAAATAAAAGACGGACCAAAAGCAGGTCAGACACGCGTACAGGGGGTTCTGCACAATTATTAAATTTAATTAACTACAGAATTCTTGTAGATTTTCTATTTATATACCTATAGACATGGAGTTATTTTCTGTACTCTTGGGTAAATTTCAGAGTCCGCGTTTTGTAAGTTTTTTTGAGGTTACCCCATTTTTAGGGTACCAAAGAGAAGAGTCGTTTTCATCATCATTAATGTCACAACTGCTAGGGCGCCTTCCATTTGGATTAAATCCAATCGAATAGGAGCTATGACCCACCTGGCTGATGTTAATAACTGCTGAAGTGATTTACAAAACAAGGTGGAGTTCGAGACAGTAAAGATAGTTAATTTTTGGTTAGTCATCCCATGATCGACACTTACAAAAGTTGTTCACCAATCGCGATTACCACTGCGCTATGGAGCTCCTTTTGGGTCACAATCAAATTTCAATAATTATTAAATTATATATTCAGTACCCTCATAATAAGCTTCTTCGTTTGATATGACGCATTATATTCTTTTATTTTAATTTAACCTCTGGAAAAAGAGACTGTGATGTTACAAATTTATTTACTTACGTAATACTCTCACCTTTTGTCCATCGATTTACATTAAATGATCATTACATATATTTCAATTCAATCGGTCCGTTAGTTTCGGAGAAAATTGGTTGTGAAGGAAAGTAGGACACACGAGTGATCCTATAATGGCTCAGCTTTTTCCTTTTTCAGTACTTAACCCTAAAAATGATTAAAGTTTGACTTTGCTTGATGTCATTAGGTACATTGACCGCTTATTACATTATCTAAGATTAAGACATGAAGGTTTTTTGCAGATAATTGCGGGCGATGTGTTTTCCCTGAACTTTTTATTATTACTTTATGAATAAAAATAATTGTAAACTATTTAATCGCATGAGTTTTTGAAAATATGACTTTATGATTTTAGTACTATGAATATGTTCAATCGGTATTAGTTTGAGTACAGTATGCTTTTAATTATTATAAGACTACCAATATGTTCCTCAAGGAACCAGCTAAAAGAAATATTATTTTTATTAAATCGTATAGATTTATCATGTAAAGAGTAGTGCGCATGAAGATAAAATAAAAAAAAAACTAATTAATTTCATTAAAGTGACACGTTTCTCTTAAAAAACATTTCTAATATTTCGATTGTTTTAAAAGTAAAATCATACATTTATTTTGCAGAATCATTATTAATAAATAATGTCAATTAAGAGAATATTTAGATCACGAAGATATATTTCAGACGAACCGTTTATTTTCCATTGCTGTAATAGTCGATTTCTCCTTGACAATAGACCATCAATTAACTGTTGCTATTGTGGTTCTATTGCATTAATGATATTTACAAATACATAAAGATTTTCCTTTCATAAGGAATTTATGTTTGAATATACCTAGAGACCATTAAGCTAGTAAAATAGTGGAAAGAAACTAAGATTGGAAGTTAGTTAATCAATACAGCGAAAGATTTTGGCTAGATCAAGTCGGAGCGGAGCTCCGGATGAAAATACTTTGAAATTGTAGAATTTCCAGTAGTTACAGAGAGTGTATTGTTACAGGTTATAAGGCTCTTTTAGTTTATAATACAATTAAAAAACCGAATCTTAACATTTATCCACGAAAACAAATGATAATTTTATAATCCCAAAAATATATTATAAAGAGTCATATTTATAGAATAAAACGATGACATTTAAATTTTAGATAACACTTTTAAGCTTCTGCTTTGCATAAGAAATAAACAATTGCAAAAAATTCTACCACAGAATTGAATTTTGTTTAGAAAAGGCAAATTAAATTAGAAACATTTTACCATAAAAAGGTACGTAGTTCTTTAAGCTGATAATCATAAATTCGATACGATGGGGCCTTTTTCAATGAAGAGCCTCTTTGATTATAAAATATAAATAATCTAATATTTATATATATATTTATAGTACTTGCTTTTAAACGTCAACCTTCAGTATGAAAAGTTCGGGTCACTCCCCGCAAGGCAAATCTCATAAATAACTTTTAGTAATATGATTAAATTTACCTCCGTGGTAACTCCATTCACATTATTCGTTTATAATTTTGTAAAGCCTATAAAATTAACTTATATGTTTATTATCATAATAGTAGTACAGAGTATAATGTAGTCAAACCAATCCAGCAAATTTTTATAGATATAAATCGACTTAAAATTAATGTTTCTGATATTATTTCTTCACTATATTATGTATTATTACTTATTATTCCAACAGTAATAGATTGATCAACTTATGGTAAATAGGCTTACATTTAGAGACAAAATAACGAGAGAAAAAAAATGAAAATGTTAATTATAACAACTTCCGCATGGCAAGCATTAAATGTTTTAATTATTAATCTCCATTAACGATTTGATAAAACATGTAACATATTCAATACATATATTGGCATATATGTTGTACGTTGCATACACATAAATGTATTTAAATTACATTTATTAATTAAATTACCAATATTTAATTAAGTTAGAGTGAGACCTTTTTTCTGGTTAAATGACCTAGTAAAATAATTGGGTTGAATATTTATGAAAAATAAATATACGTTTCATTGAACTATATTCCCGTTTTTAATCGATGTGTGTACTTATAGTTTTTGATAAGAAATATTAAATAAAAAAGAATCTATATCGCTAATAGATTGTAAAAGTCTGTCATTGGTACTTTTCTTAAAATATATTTAATAATAGGGGATGCTTATACAGTAAATCTATATTCATGGCAGCTATTTCATCAGATAAGTTTATCGACTGATCATATTATCCACATACTGTCTCAATCACAATTTTAATAAAAAAAAAATCCGAGTCATTGCGGTCGGGCATGTCACACGTAGTTGGATAAGAGGAAAATTTCTCATTATCGTACAAAATCTCCAGCAAAATATCCAATAGCGGAAAAACTTGAGATGCAGATTACCATAATTCAAAAATTTACTGTGTCATAAAATTTTGAAGTGACAAATAGCAATACTCGTAACCGCAACCTATTAGACTCGCGTGCAAGGTAAATCACACAAACCGACTGTGTGTGACACAGATATGATGATGCCGAACGTTTATTATGCTGGTTTCTGACGTCACAGTATGGATTTACCGTTTATCAACATCAACTAATTTATGTTAGTAAACACAGTGATG